AGGGAAGTTAATGGAATTCAAATCCCGAAATCAATGAAATGATTTGGGGATTTAGAAAAGGAATTAAGGCTGAGGAAAATTCAGCTCTAATTTGAATTTCAATGTACAATAATGGGTTTGGAGGTTTTCCAATTAATTCCTGTAGGAATTAATGAAATCTGAAACAACTGGGGAAGCGGTGAGCTGAGAGGTAAATTAGGAAATAAAATTAAAATCCTAAGCTGTTACGTGAAGAAGCTCACGAGATTGAATTGGATTGAGGCTCCTGTTTCCAGAAATCTGGCCAGCATGCAAGAGGTTTAAATTCCCCAAAATCAGTGAGAAAAAAACTGCTGGGCTTTAAATAAAAATATGAAAAATATTTCAGGTTTTTTTTATTTTTTTTATTTTTTTTAAAGCTAGGGAAGTTTCCTAATAAGAGGGTATTAATTAAGAGCAATTTGAATTTAAATTCAAATTGAAATCTAATTAATTTGGAGACCTCAAATTAAGGAGCTAAATTAGGAAAGTATCAAAGCCTCATGAGAGCTTTGAATTTCAAATTCAAAACTCCAAGAGGGGCCAGCAGGTGGAGCGGTGGGGGAAGGTGGTCGGCGGCCAAGAGGGTGGGATCGGGGAAGGTGGCCGGCGGCTATGGGGAAAATTTTGTGGAGCTTGGTATGGAGGTTTGGTCGAGGGGTTGAGAAGGGAGGAAGAAAATGAAAACAACGACGGGGAGAGAGAAGAAGGAAGAGATCAAAACAAAGATAAAACGAAAGATAGAAAATCAAAACCGCGAGCCTTGGACTCTTCCGAAGGCTGACGGGTGATGCGTTGCCCTTCTCCAAGGGACTTCAACTCACGAGCCCGGACCCATCCTGCGGCTGGTGACAACTTTGATTCCTTCCCATAGGAATCTCACTCTTATTCTATCTGAAACAGCTGGGGAAGCGGTGAGCTGAGAGGTAAATTAGGAAATAAAATTAAAATCCTAAGCTGTTACGTGAAAAAGCTCACGGGATTGAATTGGATTGAGGCTCCTATTTCCCAGAAAATGGGATTGAGGATGAGGAGGGAATTAATCACGGGATTAATTCCATAAATCTGGCCAGCATGCAAGAGGTTTAAATTCCCCAAAATCAGTGAGAAAAAAAACTGCTGGGCTCTAAATAAAAATCTGAAAAATATTTTAGGTTTTTTTTTAAGCTAGGGAAGTTTCCTAATAAGAGGGTATTAATTAAGACCAATTTGAATTCAAATTCAAATTGAAATCTAATTAATTTGGAGACCTCAAATTAAGGAGCTAAATTAGGAAAGTATCAAAGCCTCATGAGAGCTTTGAATTTCAAATTCAAAACTCCAAGAGGGTCCGGCGGGTAGAGCGGTGGGGGAAGGTGGTCGGAGGGTGGGATCGGGGAAGGTGGCCGGCGGCTATGGGTATAAATTTGTGGAGCTTGGTATGGAGGTTTGGTCGAGGGGTTTAGAAGGGAGGAGGAAGAAAATGAAAACAACGACGGGGAGAGAGAAGAATGAAGAAATCAAAACAAAGGTAAAACGAAAGATAGAAAATCAAAACCGCGAGCCTTGGACTCTTCCGAAGGCTGATGGGTGATGCGTTGCCCTTCTCCAAGGGACTTCAACTCACGAGCCCGGACCCATCCTGCGGCTGGTGACAACTTTGATTCCTTCCCATAGGAATCTCACTCTCATTCTCTCCCAAGAACAAAGTGTGAAACACACAAAATTTTTATATCAAATTCACCCCCCTATTACAATAGCTTAAGGCCCTATATATAGGCCATAACATGAGAAAATAAAAAATTACAAAAATGCCCCTTGGGCCATAACACTCAAATAAACTAACCTAGGGGTAAAATAGGAAATAACATAAAATAATAGCTAAAATTCTTAAAATAAATTTTAAATAACACTTTAAATTAAAGCCGTCGATTTACGACGCCTCCTGTGATAGATGCGCCAGATCTTCGTGCCGATGTTCGCATCACCTTGGGCCGAGTATTGGTACAATACCTCATACCATTCTGCTTCTCAAATGACACATTTCAAGATGATGTATGACAGAGATCCCCCACACCTAGTGCACTATGGGAAGGGAAGCACACCAGTTTCGTCAGTGGAGCAGTACTTGGAGGAAAGGGATAAGGTGCTAGAAGAGTTGAAGAAACATCTGCAGAGGGCACAACAAATTATGAAGAGAAATGCGGATTCACACAGGAGGGACATGCATTTTGAAGTGGGGGAGAAGGTCTTCCTAAAATTACGACCCTATAGGCAAAGGACTGTGGCGAGGAGGAGGAATGAGAAATTGGCACCACGGCACTTCGGCACCTATGAAATCGTGGGCAAGACCGCAAGATTGGGTAGTGGCATACCGACTAAAGTTGCCCCCATCAGCTATCATATACCCAATTTTTCATGTGTCTCAGTTGAGGAGAGCTATTGGGGAGCATGCAGTGAGTATGGAGTTACCAGAGACACTGACTGAGGAGTTGGAAATGATATTAGAACAACTGGAGCTACGTGGCGTTAGATTAGATAAACAGGGAGAGAAAGAAGTGCTGATTGGATGGAAAGGTGTTCCCGAGTTCGATGCGGCGTGGGAGCCATTTGAAAGAATGAAGGATCAATTCCCTTCCTTCCACCTTGAGGACAAGGTGAATCTTTGGAAGGGGAGTAATGTTACGTCGGCCCAGGAGGGGCCGGCTGGACCTGGTCCTGGACCGGTCCGGTTCTACACCTGGCGGCCCAGAAGCCAGGCAGAACCAGGAAGAGGTGGGATGGAAGCTTTGGTGGGCCCATGCATGAGTTAAACACATTGTTTGGAGGGAAATTTTGAATTAGAAGGGTGTTTAAGGAATTTGTATCCCTCCTTTAGCCTTAATTAGGGAGTAATGATAGAATTAGGTTTTCATCTTGAATTTGAATGAGATTTGAGATCTAGTGTTCTTTTGCTTTGGGCTCTTGGCATTGCCGGCGATTTGGATAGTTGTTCTTCCTCTCGAATTGAAGAACAATTGTATCTTTGCTATTTCACTTCATCTTGTAGTGGAATACAAGTCTTTACTTGAGTTTTCTCTCAGATTTCTCCGAATTTGTTCTGTTTTCCTGCTGTTTACAGCAGGTTGGTGCTGTTTTCCTGCTATGGACAGCAGTTTTTATGCTGTTTGATCATCGATTTGGGTTAGGGTTGCTTGCGAACTCAAGTATTACTTTAGGGTTACTTGCGAACTCAAGTATTTCCTATCATCTTATTACTTTGATCAAGTAGTGATTGACCTTAAAAAATCCAAAATATTCTTAGGGCAAACTTTTCTCCACCAGTTTTTATCCTTAGTAATAATAAAGTTAATGGTAGGACCAATTTGGTTAACGTTTAATGAGTTAAGGGACTAAATTAAATACCTGCAAAAATTCTGGGACTAAAATGAATACTCCTTAAAGGTCTAAGGACTATTTTGGATATTTACTGGCTTCTTGTGTATGGTTTATTGAAATTCATATGTTTTTTTTAATTAAAAGCAGACATATTATAATTTATTGTTGTAAATGTAGCTTTTTTGCATGCTGTGAAAAACTTTGGCCTCTTTTTGTTTGACATAATTTGAATTGTAGATAGATACCTAACTTCAATTTCTTTGATGCATTTTTTCTGAAAATACGATTGATTTTGTTGACATCATTTACTCATATAAGACATGTAGAAAACAAAAATTCCTTTTCTTATTATTCGGCGTGACTATTATTATTATTTCTATTTTTTATGTTTATATTACAGTGTCAGTGAGTTGCTAATTCCTAATTTTTAAACTCATTGAAACTTTTCCTTGATCAATGAATGCTACAACAAAAAAATGGCTGGAAATCTGTTGCAAAGCTTGCCTTTTTCTTTAATTTCGAACTTGTGTCTTCATGGCTTGAGTTAATCATGAAATGACTGAATCCTGTTTCTTTGCCGCCATTATTTCTTAGCCAATTTTGAATAGTTAATACGAAGTATTCTTCTTATATATATGTATTTTCATTTATTCTTTCAAAAATAGCTTTCCTTACAGATTGAAATTCTGGACTCCTGCTTTTAATTTAAGTTTTGAGAATTAAAGCATGTTTATAGTTTATGATTTATGATAAGAGTTCATCTCATAATAGCATACAGGAGCTGTTAAGCAAAAGTGCTTGAATTCATGCAGTTCTAATTATTGTATTGTTTTTACTGTAAGAATATCTAGAATTTTAAGCCGGAAGATGGTAGCTTATCAAAAAAAAGAAAATGCAGTATGTTTTATCGCTAAGAATACTTGTTGAATATTAACACTTTACTTTTTGTGACATTTGGATTGTTATGAAGAGATAAGATATATGGTGCCTATTTGATATTTTTTGAGTGTTGATCATTATTGTGCACACAAAACTCTACCATTTGAAAGAAAATTAAGATTTCAACCTTTATGAAGTAAATATTAACCTTATTTACATGTGAAACAATTTTGAAGCCTTTTAGATAGTAGGAATGAGTTGTTGCTATGGATACGTGTTAATCCCATAAGCAAGGATTAGATGGAAAGGAATGTACTGTATTAGAGGTCATCATCAATTGTGGGAATATAATGACGTAGTAAAAATATATTGATGTTATTTTACCACTAATAATATAGTGGTGAAAAACATGATGTTATTTGCTAGGATTAATGTAAAAGATGTTGATAAGATAAAGATAGATATAAAATAATGGCTAGCCAATGATGACATGGTTACTAAGTGTTCAAAATTTGTTAACTAGTTTAGGCTAATTGGAAAAGGCAGTGAGAAATGATTCCAAAACTTGCCTAAATATTTTGGATTGGACAACAGTACTGATTACTTTTTTGTTTTGCCTTTTTTCTTATAAGCATTTTGTTAGGCGGGCCCCTTCGGTCCTTACTTACTCTAGGCGGGCCCTTTTTTGTTTTGCCTTTTTTCTTATAAGCATTTCATTTCTCTGACCATGCCTTTGTCATTTTCAGTTGTTTTCAGGAAGTGATGATGAGAGTGTACTTGTTTGGAGTCTTGAAAGCAAGAAGCGGATTGCAGCACTAAAAGAGAGTGATACTTCACGTGTCTCTTCCCTGGCGATTTCTGAGGATGGAAGAAGTTTGCTTATTGCTGAAAGAGGAGGGGTGAGGAAAATTGAATTTTATTTCATGCTACATATAATTTCCATGTGCTGATTTATAATGTATTAGGCCATCTTCCTCTCGGTGTTTGTTATTTTAAAATAGAGAGTTTGGGCTTGGACCAATGACTTTCAGCATGCAAATTTACCTTATTAATTATCATCAGTTTATGCAAGATTCAACTCATTTTCATCATTAATATAAAATGCTAACTGTTGAAATATGAGAACATAAGTTTTCTCTGTTATTGCTCTAATCGAATTTAAGAATCGTAGGTCATGATGTAGGACCGGATAACAACATCCAATTCACAATGCATTCCAGCACTATTTCATAATTAAGCTACATAGAAAAAGGACACTGACTATTCGAACCAGCCAAGTGAGTAGCCTAGCTTTCCTAGTTCGCCATAGAAAAGAAAAGGAAATAGATCAAACTATGGCTGCACAAGGAGTCAGCTGACAATCCTGTTGAACACAATGCCAAAAATAAAATATTATAATAATGGATTTCCTAGAATATTATAGTCCTTGAGATATTCATTTATCAATTGGGAGAATCCCTTCTTCCCTGCCTACTTAGAATTCATTTTTCCTTTCATACATTCCAAACATATTCCTCTTATAGGAAAATATATGTTTCGTTGATTGGATGGACTTCTTTCATGCCAATGAAGTATTTGAGATGGCCTCAGTCTTTAATTTCAATTTTTTTTGCCAATATATTTTTTAGGTTTTTCATCTCTTCCTCATTATTTCCAGTAAGAACGATATCATCTGCATAGGCAATGAAAATGTCAAGTTTCTTTCATGAGAGACTTTGACAAACATAGTGTAGTCTGTTTTCATTGGGTGAACCTATTGAGATTTTTGAGGTTGTGTATGGATTTTTAAAGTTTGCATACTTTGTTAATGTTGTCTTTAGTTGTAAGTCCAGGATGAATATGCATGTACACTTCCTCTTCCTAGCACTATTAAGGACTGCATTCTTGATGTCAAGTTGGAGTGGCCAATCATAGTTTGCATTTAAAGATAACAAAATCTAAATTCATTTGAGTTTAATGACTGGAGTAAATATTTATTCATACGAAATTCTATAAGATGAAGGGTTTGTTTGATTTGTTGGAAAAGGAATGCAGTCTAAAATAGAATTTGAGCGTAAGCTTTGAGGCATTTTTAAATGTAAACCTTAGAATTAAACCTTTAAATTAATTAAAATTATGAAATAATAATTGACATAATAACATCAAAGTATGATCATAACAATAATCTTTTCACCCCTAATTCAACATAAAGTCATAAATAAATAGCTTAGGTTGCTAAGATAATAATTTATGAATTCAATATTTAATATCAGCCATCTTCTTCTTTTCTAATCAATAAAATCTAATAAAAATTAATTAAAATTTAAAATAATGATTGTGTGGATAATTAGTTTTTTTTATTATGTGAAGTTATTTATTAATATTTTTTGTTAACTTATATTGATTTTATTCCTTCCTCCATCAAAGAAGCCAACATTGAGATCTTCCTCTTACAATTGTGATTGATGAAATTTTATTTTCATCATCTGCAGACCAAATATCATGTGATGACACATTATTATAAACTCATGGATTTTTATCATTCTCCAAAACTATCTTTGTCAAATATTTATCTTTTAATCTCTTGTTGTACATAATATAAACCAATGAGTTCACCGGCAAGGTAATTAAATAATATATACTTTTGGTATGAACTTGGTATTAACGTGCAGTTTTTTATTTTATATATTTTAGGACGTGTGTAGAGAAATAAAAAAATATGATTTATTTTATATATTAAATTTTACAAATTAAAAAAAAATAAATTACTTATGTCATAGTTTTTAAGGCTTGCACCTTCTACAAATTACATAGAGGTGAGCCATAACCCCATTGAGACATATGCCATATCAAGTCCCAATGAGGCATCTCTTTTGCCTTTTTTTGCAATTGAGGTTTGTTTATCTTATTGTGCAATTTTAAGCAATAAATTTCTAACTTAAATAAGAAAGTTATTTAATAAAAACTAAGATTTAATTAGCAATAAATTTTAAATTAATTTAGGCCAACTTATATTATGGGGCATATGCCTTGCCATAATTGGATGCAAATGATGCACCGCATGCTCTCCTAGTGAAGCTCCAACCTCAGGACCATTTGCTCCACACCAAGCCGAACTTAGAATTGTAAGCAAACAAGTGCACTCAATTAAGAACTCTATACTCGTTTATTTAAATACTTGAACAAGCTTAAAAAAAATTTAAAAGTTCATATAAATGAATAAGGTTTAACATTGACTTGCTTATTTATTTATATTCGTGAACATGCTCATTTATTGTTTGACAAGTGGCTTGCTAAGAACATGATAAAATGATGATTTAGTGATGGCTTCATTTTTGGTTGACTTATTCTATGTTATTGTATCAAATTTCTTAAAATTTATAAATCTTAATTTTTTTTATATTATTAGATGGCTAGATGCATATGTATGATGATAATATCAAATAAATAGCTAGATAGATAGATTTAGCATTTTCTTATTATTTTTTAAACTCACCAAAAAACTTAAATAATACCTAATGAGTTATGCCAATTTTTATTAAAATCTATAAATCCAATTATGTCTAGTGATTAGGCTATATTTTTAAATTATTAGCATCAAATATATAATTAGTTAGGTTTGTTTAAAGCTCGATTTTGGCTTATACTCAATAAGAAAACTAATAAATAAGCTCAAACAAGATTTTAAAATTTGGATCAAGTTCAAGTTTGGCTTGAACTCGATAAGAAAATAAATGAACAAACTTAAACTACATAGTACTCTGCTCAATTTGATTCATTTACGGCCCTACCTAGATTGAATTAGTACATATTTGCTTGACCTCATCCAAGGGCCTAAGGCACATGTCTCTGGATCTCCCGAAATGCCAGGAAAAAAAAAGGTTTTCACTAAGATAATGTTTTGCTTTTCTTTTTAAACATTTTATTATTAATAATGATCTCCTTTAAAAAATAAAATTTTAATGGCAAGTAGCCGTTGTTATCGTTTCCTCTCTTTGGCAAACACACTGCACGCTTCACATCAGTGCAGTATGCATTTTCAGTAGAACACCAAAATAGCATTCATGGGTGCATGAATCTTTACATACTCAAAACTGTGCTGTTACATGAAACGTATATTCATGCTTGCAAATGAGCATGGTCTTTGCCTAGCCAATGTTGTAGATTTTGAGATTTATCAGTTATATTTCTTTCCATAGTTTTCTTAGATATTTTTTAATTTACTTTTCCAGCTAGCAACTTGGTAGATTCTCAGTTTCTGGTTTTTATTTTAATCTTTTTTCTCAAGCTACTGCCATTTTTAATAAATTGTCCTGCAATTCTGGATAATTGCTTTTATTTAGAACAATGTGTAGTTATTCCTTATTTCGTACCAAGTTCTATCTTCTTATGTCAACCTATTATTTCCATGAACTAAATTTGATGCATAGATTCTCGCCTTCTACTCTATTTTCTTTTATAACGTGGTTAACAATACTAGTGAAACTAATGGTGCCAATAAAAATCCATAGACCCTTTTTGGTTTGCTTATGTGTGCCTGGGTACAGCATTTGTTTGCCCGTCTTTTCCAAGTGGTTTAGAGCATCAGGGTTCGTTAATTTATATCTAACAGCACATATGTAATGGCTACCTGTTTTTGTGCTTATCGTCTCAAATGTATGCAATTTATTTTGCTCCGCATGTAACATGTTTAGATTGTCTCAAGAAGCTCATGGCAGACAATGATAGGTTGTTACTATATGGGACCTGCAAAAGTATAACCGGCAACAAACAGTAACTATTAAGGAGAAGGATAACCCGTTCGAGACAGTTAACACTGTTTGCATTATTCCGGATGGAAGTTTGATATTAACTTGTTTGAGCCAATGCAAGTCTCAAAACAAGGAAAATGGGGTTGCTATCCAGCCAATCTATTTTTTAACTGTTGGTGAAGATGGGCTTGTACGTATATGGTCCTTTTTCTTTAAGAGGTCTGACCAATGTTTGAATTAAAAAGTTTATTTTGTTTTGGAATGCTCCGAGTTTCTATTTGACTCTTAAGTGTGTTATTTGTTTTCATTTTCATGCACACAGTAGTGCAGTTTGCATTTACAAGCAGAAATCTTCTGGTGCAATGCCTGGGTGTGTTAAATCTGGTGTGGGGTTCTTGTCAGCTTTTGTACTACCTCAGAATCAAGGGCTGCTCTGTGTGACCTCTGATGAGCAGTTCCTTTTTTACCGCCCAGAAAAATCTTCTGATGGAGCATTCCAATTAAGTCTGTATAGAAGGCTGATTGGCTATAATGAACAGATACTTGATATGGCATTCTTAGGTGACGAGGAACAATATCTCGGTGTGGCTACAAATTCAGAACAGGTAATTTTCCATCATACTTTTTGAGTGCATTATTTTATGTCCCCAAGATAGTTTATATACTCTTAAGTCAAGCCCCTATGCTAAGTTTTTTTTTCCTCAAGTAGATTCATTTGCTAAAATTAATAGGCTGCATTGTTGTTGTTAGCAAGCCCCTATGCTAAGTTTTTTTTTTTAATGGAATATTTTTTGGGGTAGGGGGAGGGAACACTTGGACTATTTGATTCTCTTCTCCTGTGGGAAAAAGCACTACCAAACAACATGGCTTGTCATAAAAAAGCCTGCTTCTAAAGCTAGTAACACCTCTTATCTTTTTTTTTTTCTTCCTTCCGATTCCCCAACTCCATTTTCCCATGGAAAAAATGTGCAATGCGTCTAAGACCCGTGATGCCATTCACCTTCTTTTTTCCTCCTTTTTCCCTTGTTGAGTCAATTCTACTTTACTTTTAAAGTTAATGCTTTACATTACATATTTACTCCTTATCGATCTAGTTCGTCTCACCTGACATGGTATATTATAGATAGCCCAGCCTGGCAATCCCTTTCTCAACACATGCATGATTTTCCATCAATTTTTTTTTTTAAATATCATGATGTCAAGAGAGCCTGTAGAATAACTCAAGGTGTTTTTTTATCTAATTCTTTACTTGGCTAATGTATTCAATATGTCACAAATTGAGACCTTCTATTAAAGTTGGCAAGGTACGTGAGATTTTAGGTTTAGTCCCATATTAGATAGTTGAAAAATATAACTATTTAAAATTCTAAACGGTTGGCTCTCAATATGCTTAATCTTTTGGGTTGAAAATGTGTTGACCACTGCTGTATGTATCCCAATTTCAATCGCCTTAGTTGGTTTCCTAACGCTGGTTACCTGATGTAATTACAATGTTCTAGAATCTACTTGATTATATCAACTTTTTTTTTAAAAATTTTTCCCTTGAAGGATTAAAGATTAAAGTGAAGAGCAGTTTTCTCTCCAATCTTCATTTCTTGTCAACATATGAATTCCGGCTTCTGTGACTGACCTTGTTTCAACTTTCCTGTATATTTATAGTTGCAAGTTTATGATCTGGAATCCATGTCATGCTCTTATGTCTTAAGTGGGCATGCTGCGGTTGTATTATGTTTGGATTCATGCAAATCAAATTCTGGAAGGACGCTTATAGTAACTGGAAGCAGGGACCACCATGTGAGTAGTCATTCATACTTCTTGTATTATACTTCTGTTCAGGCGTTTCACTTATTTCTAGAAATCCTTTTTTTAATTGTTTATGTCTATTTGAATGGTTCAACAAGCCTCATGGGTTATTTAACTGGTTGAGTTAGAATGAGCTTGGAATATTGTGTGACTTTCATTGTTGTTGTATTTTTTATTCCGGTGCTTACTAGCTAATTGTGGTTGCATAAGATTTGAATGAACATCATTGTTGCATGCATCTGGTAAATAACACGTCTTGTCCTTGTGTCAATTACCATTCACAAGATGAATCTGCAATTTTATCTCTGCACCTCCTTTAACCTCAATTGCTATTTCGTTCAGCCATTTTTTTATGGAATGCTGGGTGCTTGACCCTTCTCATTAATTTATAAAGAACTTATATTCGAAACAGGCAGAAACCCAAAAGAATAAAGAAAAAAAAATGCAGCAGGTAAAACTCCTTGGGATTATCTAGTACACCCATATCTAACATAGCCATTTAATTTTTTTAACTGTTTTCTTCTGAGAAGAAACACAAAGACCAAGCTGATGGTATTATTTAAAAATACTCTATCATCAATATTTTTGCTCTTGAAGCAATCTCTACTTAAGTACTTATCTTCCCCAAATAGACCAAATAGCTATTGTGAAGGTGTCCCGAAGGTGTCCCGATGACCGTTTTTGGGAGTTTCTACTGAATTCTTCCTTTCCCAGTTTAGATTTTAACTGGTGGGGTTCATCTAAGTTCCTTGTCTTTTAAATACTCTTAACACCTAAGCCTTGTAATTTTCTCTCACCCTCCATCCTTTTGTAGATAATGTATAGGATAAAATGAAATGGTAAATGCTTCAAATAGAGGTGTTGTTTCCCAGATGTTGATCTGAATTGGCATTTCTAGCTCTTAAAGTAAAGTTCATAACTGCTAATTTCTAGCTCTCTCTCTCTCTCTCTCTCTCTCTCTCTCTCTCTCTCCCTCTCTCCCTCTCTCCCTCTCTTCTTAGTGCCCATAATCATTCTTCTGGTTTATTGATAGATTACTTGATCCGGGTTAGCTTAGCATCCTGTGCCACTTTTGTGTACGCTCCTATTCATTAATTCTATAATTGAGTTGAAACAGTTTGTTCTTCCAGCACTAAGGTGGTATGGCCTGATATTCCTTTTTTCTTACCATTGAATGTGTCATTTCAACTGGAATTTAAATTTGTCATCTGTATGGCCTGATATTCCTTTTTTCTATGATGGCTTTGATGTATTCCCTTTTGTTGGAACTTAGAAAAGAAGTTTACCATTGCTTCATTATAGGCAAATTATTTGCGGCGCTAGTTTGAACTTGAAAAAAAAAGAACACAATACAGAGGAATATCCTTAGATGCCAAGCTTTACATATTTGTGTTAATTCTTTACTATAAAGTTTAATTTTATTTTTTTTTTCAAATTTTGAATGGTTGTTTTTATGTCCTGTTAGGTTAGACTCTGGGATGCTCAAAGAAGAAGCTGCGTCGGAATTGGCAAGGGCCATATGGGAGATGTTGGTGCTGTTGTCTTTTCAAATAAGTGGAAGAACTTTTTTGTTAGCGGTAGTAGGTGAGCTATGTGAAGAATATTTCTCTATTGTGTTGTGCGCATCATTTGCAATAACGCTCTCCACTCTCCAGTGCTTTTTGTTTATTAAATGCGTAATAGGGTTATCCCAGTGCAACTAGCTTATTAACTTCTTTATCTCATATGTGAAAAAGTGAGAAGAAAAAAAACCATGTTCAGCAATTGTATATATGTCTTACATCGTTAACATGATAGGCCGTAGCATTGAAGATTTTGTTGCCCCTTTCAATTGCCATATTGTATCCATTTATTTGTACATTCAATTTTAAATGAGCTCAAAAGTTTAATGATTTGATTTGTTCTTTTTTTTCCCTAGAACCTTTTATGAATAATACTGCTACAAATTACGATATCGATCAATTACTTCACACCTAGAATTCATAGCAGCATCTTAATCATCACGCTCATCTTTGATTATGACCTAGAGGGTTGATGGTGATGATTTTGAAAGGCACAAATTGTCTAAGTTTGTTGCTAGCTTTCTCTAAATAGAGTAGATATTTTGTACATTTGATATTGAACCATGCTTTTGGGATAATTTTGATCATGAAATTTGATGAAACAATGTAATAGTTGTAGGAATTGCAGGGAAATTTATAAAAATATTGTTAAGCTTTGTAATTACAACTTATTTTTTCACCATATTATATTCTAGGAATCCTTAGTTATTGATTTTGCTTTGGCATGCGCCATGCGGTTACAAAGTAGATTAGAAGGAAACTTAAAATAGCATCAAAATAACGTTAAAGCTTAATGTGCAACTAACATAAATCCACCGGTTAATAATTAGAACGATCACCTTGAGTTTTCCTCACTCACACTCTTGAGGGTTTTTAGCGGAAGAATAATTTTAACAATATTAATGATGCCACCATAAGACAAAAGATGCTTACGGTATCGCTCAATGAAAATTTATTCAGAGAGGAAGGAGTTGGTGGATGTTGGAGGATTTGCCACTGACCGGGGATTTGATGCTCGTCGATGGCGGTCGTCAAGGAGAAGAAGATCCGATCGATGTAGTCTTTGATGGTGTGGTCGATCTCAAAGTTGATGCCGAAGAAGGGTGATCTAAGCACATCTACTCGACCTTGATAATCGTAGACGAATCCATGATCTTGTTCGGGATCGACCATTCATGAGTAAGGAGGTCGAGGGAGGTTGTGTTTCTTCTTCCTTTGATGATGTATCAAGCAAGGGAGAAGAGATGTACGGGAGGAGGGAGGGGCTTGGGTGGTCGGCCAAGGCTAGGATATGGCTAATTCTAATTTCTGATTTTAGGGTTCGGTGAGGGAGGGAAAATAAATTCAAAATCTAAAATTTAATTTGAGATTTCAGTTGGAATTGAATGGGAGAATTTGAAAATTGAGTTTCAATACAAAGAGCGAAAAGAGGGTTGCTCCTTTAATGAAGGAATTGATTTGGGCTCCAAAGGGGAAAGAGATTTATTGTAGAAGAGAGGGCGACATGCTTGGGGGAAGTGGGGGCTTTAAGTGGGGAGTTAAAGCTTGCTCTATTTAGAATCCTAAAATAGGAATAGATATATTAAATCAAATCCTATTTAAAATTCAAATAGACATGATTTGAATGAACTTTCCTAAACTAGCTTATGATAGTTTAGGAAAGAATTCAAATTTGATTGTTTATCCTCATAAATTTATCAGGATCAATTTTAGAAAGTAATAAAAGGTCAATTTGAAATTGGAATCAAGGGGAATTGCTGGGGTTTGGCCAGCGGCTAGGGTTTTGGGGCTAGGGTGGCTGTCAGCTATAGGAGGGGAGGGATTTTGGATTAGGTGGGTAGAGGGCTGGCGGGTGGAGCCTAGGCTGGCAGTTTGGGTGGGGAGAAGGGGTGGCCGGCGGTATGGGAGGAGGAGGTGGTGGAGGCTAGTGGTTTGGGGTGGAAAGGGGGAGCAGGTCGGCGGCTTGGAGAGAAGAAAAAGGAGGGAGGCAAGGGAGGAGAGGGGAAACCGAGAGCCCGAACACTTCCTGCGTCTAGCGGGAGTTGCTTTTGCCCTCACCTAAGGACTTCACCTTTCTCTAGAGCTCTCAACACTCAAGGGAACAAGAATGCATAAATTTTTATTAATCATCATAAAAAACTCATACAATAGTTATGACACTCATATATAGGCCTCAAAGCAACAAAAGACACAAAGAAAAATGCCATTTGAGCTACAACATGAACTAATCCCTCACAGGGGTACAATTGTCAAGACTAAAATATAAACAAAAGTAATACATAAAATACATTATAAATAAAGACTCCTAATTATAGCCGTCGATCTACGATTCCTTTCGGTGATAGATGCGCCGAAATCTCCTGTTGATGTCCTAATCAAAATTGTAGTTGACATGTATTCATTGAAGAGCTTGTTAGAAAATATAATATTCATTTTTTCTATGATGCCATAAGTTGAGATCACTTTAAATTGAAAAAGGCATACCTTATGCTCGACTTCTTGCCATGTTGATGCATGTAGTATTGCTCTTTGCATCATAGAGTTTATTTATATGCCATGATGCATCGACACTTCTCCTTAAGGAGATATGTAGTGTTTGACATATGTCGGACATGAAAACATTTCAAATGCGATGAAAAATGTCTAATTAAAATTATATTAAAAAAATAAGACACATGTCCATCATGCATATTGAATATTTTATTAAAATCCATTTTTAAATATTGTTTCTTATATTTCAAAATTTTACCTATTAAAAAGTAAAATATAAATTTTCTATTTTCCTTAGAGAATTTGAGTTTATATTCTCCATAATGCTTGAAATTAGAGAAATATGCTCCTCATTTCTTTTCTCGGTGAAATATACTCGAAAGTTTCATGTCGACCTAAACAATTTGAATGAATAAAGAACTAAAGTGTCGAATAAGTGTTGAATAAAGTTCAAATAGAAATGAATCTACATTCGACCCATTAAGTTGACATTGATTGATAAAAGGGTTGAAGTTAGGTTCAGTTAAGTGTTCTTACATACTTGAATGAGGTTTGGGGACATGGAAGTTCATATACCTCAAAAGCGTATTATTGAATGGGAGTTTTCTACTTTGCCAGTACTTGGGCCAAATTCATGCATTTGGCGAGTAGGTTTTTGTTTTGGGGCACATGGAAATTCAGTAGACAGCTTTTTCCTGGAATCTGAAATTGTACTAGTTGCATACTCATTTACTGTCACCCAAACCGTTTTGTTTCTTTTCTGGTTTAACCTAACGATTTATTGAATTTTCATTTTCATATTTTCTTGCATAATTTATACTATTATCGTAGAGCTGCAGCTTCTGATCTGATGGAGATCTTCACTGACACCCCCATCCACCCTTCAAATATATTTTTTCCAAATAAGGATATTGTAACTGCATTTGGCTTCAGCTTTTTTATTGTAATTCTCTATGTTGATTGGTTTACAAGCTAAACCATGGGCATACTGTGGATTTGAACTATGATTCTAGGTAGTAAAATCATTCCCCTGCTACTTGCGAACTAGTCCTGTACTATTTGCTGATGAAAACCTGGATTGCTTCTTAGAAGATGAGTGTTTGCATTGTTTCAATTATTTGTAAATACCTGTGACTGTGAGATGATTTTTATAGTTGTGTTGCAGTGATCGAACTATTAAAGTATGGAGCTTTGATGGTGTTTCTGAAGATGTGGATCAAGATGTTACTCTTAAATCAAAAGCTGTTGTTGCTGCTCATGACAAGGACATAAACTGTCTTGCTATCTCACCAATTGATAGTCTTGTTTGTAGTGGCTCTGAGGTTAGCACATTTATATACTTTATGGCATCTTCCAGAAGCTTTCTTCCTTAGTTTAGTTTTAAAATTTTAAAAATTATGTTTTTGCATAGGATCGTACTGCTTGTATATGGAGGCTTCCCGAGCTTATATCTGTGATGGTCTTGAAAGGACATAAGAGAGGAATATTTTCTGTTGAGTTTTCTCCTGTTGATCAATGCGTTCTGACATCTTCAGGCGATAGGACCATTAAAATTTGGGCGATTTCTGATGGTTCATGTTTGAAAACATTTGAAGGTCATACTGCAGGCGTATCTCGGGCCTTTTTCCTTTCACGTGGAACACAATTTGTTTCTTGTGGTACTAGATAATACTTTTTCACTCTTTTTTCTGATTAACGTTTGCTTTTATTCAGGAGTTTTTTGATGTGTATTACTTCGTAGGTTTTGATGGCTTGGTGAAGTTGTGGACAATTAAGTCTAATGAATGCATTGCTACTTATGATCAACATGATGAAAGGGTAGGCAATTTATCTTATTCTCTTTTCGTGCTTCCATGGAAGTTAAAGTGGTTGCTAACCTCTATTTTATGCTTGCATGTGCGGCATGCAAGTTTTATTGTTCTTTCCTTTGCGGGCAATTCAGTTGTAAGATACCCTTTTGTGTCCCTATATGTTATATTTATAGCCGCTTCATTAATGTTGGATCATCAGTGAATGTGCCTTTTCTGGCTTATGTGTTTGTGTTAATTCTAACTTTGAAATATCTTGAAGGCTGCTTTCTGAAATATTTTCAAAATTTTCTCTACATATATTAATGATAAAAATTCAAAACATGAACGGTTTTAGGTTCTAAGAAAATTTTCTATGATGAATTTTAGCCCTTGCACGAAGTCATGACTCATCGTTGTCATTGTATTCAGTCTTGTCCTCACTATACGTTATCGTCACAATGGACCTTTTCTGATGCAAATCAACATTTTAAGTTTTGATTTTATTCTTTTTTTAATTTCAAAAATTTAGTTTTAATTTTATCATGCTTATAATGATTCTAGTAAAAACGGATAGTTTGGTTTCCTGTGTTGGTTTTGTCTTGGATCTGTCAGGTCTTCGTTCTCTGGATCGGTTTGCTCTACTAATATTCTTGTACATTGCTGTAGATGGAGTCTTATATTATTTGCTTTTGTGAACATAAATAGGTAACTTCAAGAAGTGAGAAAAATGGTATTTTGGTTAAAAAATTGTCAGCTCATAAATTTAGTGCTAGTTGGATGCACATTGTTCTAGTGTGGTGTAAGTGATGATTATAGATTTCTATGAAAATTTAGCTCCCTGGAATGGTGTGGGGCTTGTATTGTTATTTGGTGATTTGTTTTTCATATATATATATATATATATATATATTCTCTGTGTTTAGTTTGCTAGAGTGAATCAATATTTTTACATTTTATACAATTTCTACATTCTTTAAGATGTATAATCATAGAGAATTTTTAGATTGTATCGTTATTTTAGAAGATTTTCTTAAAAGATTTGATTTATTTGATTCCCAAAGCGTTGAATATGCAAAATTAAGACTAGTGGTGCATGCTTAATCATTTTGGCAAAGTTTTTTTTTTTTTGGGCTAAATCTACTTGTATAGAGATATGTTGGAGTGCAAAATTTTTCATTTTGTGATTATGGATATCTTTTACATGATCAATTTACAAATTACAAAGATGATGATTATTGTGTGTTTAAATATTATGCAAGGTTTAAAGTATTGTAGCCACATATTATTTGTCTCTAGACTATTATATTATCATTTTATATTTAAACAAAGATCGTAGGTGAGTATTTAAGGATGCATTAAGCTACAATACCCCAGCATATTATATTTTGCTTATATGGATCTTTGGATATTGAGAAATATTACAATTGTTCTCATATTAGGACTAAAACGTCCATGCTTAGTGTTTCTAAAAAAAATTCATTAATAATCTCGCTCAAGCTTGCTAAACACAAACACAAGAATCATTCGTAGGTAGATTGGTCTTATTGAAGAGACGATCGTTATATGAATATTCTCTTAATGATTTCTTAGATGTAAAAGATGATTTATATTTGCAATATGAATCTACAACTGATCTTATTGAATCCGAATCTATCCATTTATCATAAAATATTTATTTACAATTTTACATGAACCTAAACTTATCAATAGTTGACTGCTATCCTTTTTATAAAATATTTATTTACATGAACCTAAACCTATCTTATTGAATCCGAATCTATCCTTTTTTTTAATGTGAAACTGAACCAATCAAAGGATAATAGTTGATGAATCAATTGATGAATTTGAAGATTTAACTTCTTATGAAACATCTAACAAAGTATCTTTATTATCAAAGGATAATATTGACTTTTTGGTTTCTTATTCCACATAATTTTAATAAGAGGCATATGGAAACAGCTAAATTATGTCAATATTTTAATTGATGTATTAATAATGATTTCTTTAAAGGAGAATTTACATTTAAAACCCCATTTAAATGGTCAAATCTAAAAGTGTATACTTTGGTTTGATTGACTTTTAGTTGTTTGGATTAGTTTTCTTTGAAGAAGATGCTCATTCCATATTTTGTTATAACATATTTCTGTGGTTTACTTGTTTAATTTTTTTATTCATCTCATCCTTAGGGATTAATTAGGGATATTTTGATATTTTTATTAGTTGTTTCTAATTATATTAGTCATTTTCTTGATTTATCTTTTTCCATGAAATTATGCGCATAAAGTTGACTGCTAATTATTATAATTGTAAATTTACTCTACTGATGTGAATAAGATATATGTTGGATTCAAACCATCGTATGAAGTAATGATTTTATAAATTCTAAAGAATCATCTATAGAAATCTTTCAGAAATTAATCGCTATAATGGCAAGATCATACAAAATTACACGCACAATGGGATGAATGCTTAAAGATTGATAATTTCGTGGAGTTCTAGTAATTGTCCAATCTTTGATGTATTTTTTTTTATATTTTATTTCATAAATTTGCTAAAAATGCATTGGATTATTCTCTCTTTCTATCTCTTCTTTGTGAATTCATATCCAACACTTTATTAAACAATTCTATACACTCAATTCTAAAAATATAGTAGTTATGCCCAACAGCCCAAGCTTGCTTGATACTATCGAATCTTTGATTCGTTGGAGACAAATTTTTTAACTTGGACATATTTAATACCAATCGACTTGTTGAGTTTTGATTTTTCTTTAATTGCCTTATTTTCAAAATTTTAGTTTTATTCTTATCTTTCCTATAATGATTTTTATGAGAATGGTTCATATTTTTTCATGTTCTGAACTCTTCTCTGGCCTAGTTCGATTCCTTATGTTGATTTTGACTTTATCAGTCAGCTCTTTGACCTTGGTTTGATTTGATCTAATTTCTTGTTCATTTTTGTTGATGGAGTTCTATGTTTTTGGGCTTGCAAGGAATTTGGTCTTTAATTGGAGTGTTCTCTTATAGTTTGCTGTTAGACTTTGTTTGGAATTGTATTTGATATGGGCCTGCATGAATTTTGTATTTGATCTAGCCTTGTACGAATTTGTTCTTGGGTATGATTTTAGCTCTCTATTTTTGGCTTTGTTTCCAATGTATGAGTTATGGATCTCTGTTATGGGAATTGTGGAGCTCTATTTAGCCGGTGGCTTCGTCTCCTGCTAGACCATGCACTCATATTGTTGACTTGTTAGTTGCAGCTTTCCTCTGTCATGGAATTCTATGATTTTTGTTGTTCCGATTGTTTTGTATGCGTTGTTTTGTAATGATACATGCCTCTTGATTCGGGCAAATTATTGGGTCAGGTGACCGGAGGCGAAAAATAAGTTCGGACATCCAATAAAAATTTGTCGCGTCACCTTGCGCTTTTGACTTGCGCTTTAGTTGCACTTTACTTGCGCTTTACCTGCGCTTTACTTGCGCTTTAGTTGCGCTTTACCTGCGCTTTACCTGCGCTTTACTTGTTCTAAATTTAAAATAATATTTTATTAATATCCGGACCTATCTCTGCGTTCGGTCACCTGACCCAATAATTTGCCCTTGATTCGGCTTCTGAATGTATCAATTTTGTGCCTAATGCTTGATTTTGTTATAGGGAATTCCGTGACTACAAATAAAGAGTTTGACGCATGTAAAAGATAGTTTTTTTTACCTTTCTAAAAATTTTTAGCTGCTCTCAAATTTGTGTACTAGTTGGTTGCCGATCATTCTAATTTGTTGCGAGTGCTGAACACAAAATTTGAGGTGTATTTCTTTAGTGATGAGGTCTTGTTCGAGGGCTTGATTGTTGTTTGGTTACTTTTTTTCCTTGTTCTCTTTATATTCTTTAATATTAGCGTTTGATTTGTTTGAGTGATAAACAATTTTCAATCTTGTATAATTTGAAATTTTTTTGTGTTGTGAGACTGATCGTGTAATTTTCACCGGTCCTAAATCTATATACAGAATTTTTATTTTTTTTATCCTTAAAATATCATTTGATGCAAATTTTGCATATTCTTCTAATTTTCTTTGAAACAAATAAGTTTTTGTCTATATTAATAATTTGTATATTGCTCATTTAACCTTTTATTTCATCCTTGATTTCAATTAGGAAACATGACACCGCAAGACTTTTTGCATCATTTCTGCGTCGTTAATTCCTTCTAGTTTAACTGAACTTTCTTATCCATTTCTCCTCTTCTCAAAATTTCCTAACATTCTTATTCTATCTGCATAAAAGGCACATGCATTCTTACATCCTCAAAACAGCTAAAAAACCCTGCCTGCTACAACTGCTGCTGGCCATATTTGTTTTTTTCTGTATTATAGTCACTAAATTTAGTCTCTCTAAAAACATATGGTGATTTTTAATCGACAAACTTTCCAGCAGAAATTGAAAAAAAAAAGTTTTGTCTGACATCACCTAAAATAGTCCAACTTCAATAATCTTGCCAGAGGCCTTCAGAGCTAGTTTTTTCTGTATTATAGCCACCTGCTTGGTAAGTTGGCTGCTGGAATCTTGATAAAGTAGCTTGCCTGTTTTGTTCCACTTATTCCAATGAAATTTTTTTCTTTGGTCTTCTGACAAACTAGCATATGACTAACAGAATGAATTCTCACGTAGGAAAATGGTTTTGATCTGCTTGATATGAAACAATGATATGCATATTCTTGGGTGTAATAGATGTCTTCTTTGAACATATTTTTTTCTTTTCTTTGTTCCTTTAATCTGCAGATTTGGGCATTGGCTATTGGCAGGAAGTCTGAAATGTTTGCTACTGGCGGTGAAGATGCAGTTATTAATCTATGGTTTGACAGTACTGCTGCAGACAAGGAGGAGAATTTTCGAATGGAAGTAAGCACCTTTGTCCAAGTCCATCATCCATTGTTGCTATCTTTCAGCAAAATGTACATTAAACTGCTAAGGATATCTCCCTTTTTCTGGCTTAGTTTCTGCATTGATATCATTTGATATACTATGTTTCCAATTGCTGCACTTGTAATATATTGATGTGGACAAACTAGATTAGAAAAAGCCAAGAGAGGAGAACACCAGGACTAGTAGAACATGAATCAATTCAACACTTAGAATACTAACATCCAAACAAACTTCAAGAACAAACGAAAGCCAAACAAACGAAACAAAATTAAAATTAAAAACAACTACCCTCAGAACAACCGACAAGCGGTTTCCTCACATGCAACGAAAGTAGGCAATATAAAAGAAGTGCTTAGGGGCTTGCAAACCAAGGGTCCACCATAGCTACAAGGTCCAACGTCCACCAAAACTCCTCTGGCAAATGCTACAAAATCAGCCAACAAACGCCTCCAATAGCTCAAGAAGAAAGATAAAAGTGGAGTGGAACTTGCAGAGAGAAGAAAGAGGTTAGAAGCCCAAGATGAAATAGTAGGGAGGAAGAGAGAAATGGAACAAGCTTTCAAGCTTTTCCAAAGAAGAAGAAACCCTCGGGATTTTTTAAGAGACTTTGCTCAAATAATCAACAACCTTTTATGCTTCAAAACATCTCAATTTTATTGGAGAAAAGGGGGCAGCCAAACAACCAAACCACCTCCAACCGAACCAATCAAGTAAGGGGAAATGGAAGGCCATCATTTAGCCCAGAAATAGCACCCGAACAACCACTCAGAAAATCAGAGAAAGCAACCAAGGAGGGAAGGAACGGGTGGCCAGGGGAGGGGAACCGGAATAGCAGCTAGGGGAACCAGAACAGGCAACCAGGCAGGGAAAACCGAAGAGCCACAGAGAAGGGGAAAGGGTAAGAATCCACTCCACATAATGAGCTAAAAAGTGAGATAATTTTCCAAAATAATGAGTTAAAACTGCAGCTCAAGCATTAATGAGCTAGAAGCAAGCAGCTCCAAAAAACACAGCCCAAAACCGAGCAGCTAAGCCCAAACCGAGAAGCAACCAGCAGCCCAAAGGCCAAAGAACCCAACTAGCTAGCACACCCAAAGTTTGCCAAGCCCAAGCACTACCTACTCATGATCATTGGATGAATTCCATCATAGGGTAGCATAAAAAAATAAAGAAAACTATATCATTCAAATTACAATAAAAACTAAAATAAACTGAAATTTGCATTCATCATATATGTTGCTATAGTTGCATACTTGTTGATGCGTGGGCTTGTTCTCCTTGAATATAAATAGTTATTCTAAGCACTTCTTTAATGTTATATTCAAAAGTCATACACGCAGCGAAGTGCAATAAAATTTGTTTTTGGAGCCATTGTTTTCTTTTCCACGGATATTCTTCTCATATTTCACCATTTCTTTTGTTATGTGCGATTATCTCAAAATTTTTTGAGATATTGTTTTTTAACTTGGTATTTTCTTTACTTGCAAATTTTTCTTATTGGCAAAAAATTTCTATGCTACGTTCTGAATGTTAAGCCACCCTCCATTTCTCTGCCATGAAAACCTAATTTTTCGTTGGATAACTTTATTGGCTATATTTATTATATTTTCTTTGGTAACATCTGGTTTTTTTTTTGGCTGGGTATACAGGAGGAAGCAATTCTTAGAGGCCAAGAACTCGAAAATGCTATCTCAGATGCTGATTATGCCAAGGCAATTCAACTTGCATTTGAACTGAGAAGACCACATAAACTTTTTGAATTGCTCTCTCAACTATGCAGGTTTGTAGTAGTTGTTTAGTCTGGTCTTGTTTTGCTATTATTTTCTCCTTGGCTACTCATTTGATTTATCGTGTAGGAGAGATGCTGTAGATCCCCTCGAGAAATCTCTCCGCAATATTGGGAAGGATGAACTCCGTGTTCTTCTTGAGTATGTTCGGGAGTGGAATACAAAACCTAAACTGTGCCATGTTGCCAACTTCGTGCTTTTTCGAGTATTTAAGTTGTTTCCGCCTACGGAAGTTATAGAGGTAATGTAATAGCAAGTCTGCAAGCTTTACTAGGTTGATTTATCCCGAGAACTTTGATTTCCAATGTTATTGCAGAAGCCTTTTCATACTTAAACAGTCTAGAAAGCCACATGAGTCTCATATATGTCACCATCTTCTTCTTCATCATCATTAACCTTATTCCAATTATTTGAGGTTGGATTTATGAATTCCCATTTTCCAACCTATTATGCATTTTTTAACAAAGTCTAGGTTAGGATCATCCCTTTCTATTCCAATAATTTGGCATTAATTTTCCCCGTCCTATGATGGATGCATTTTGATATGTAAACCAATCTATTAATTAAGTTTTCTCGGTGTAGATAGCCTTTTTTCAATGGTTTGGTCTTCTATTTTTTTTTATCACAGTAATATCCTTTGTATAAAAAGTAGGAAAATAGGAAAAAATATTTTTAATTTTATTGCTTGATTATGTATGAAGTATGAAAATATTTATAGGCTTCTTCAAAAGGCTTATAATAGAAATAAATTAAAACTATTTATAAAAAGAGAGAAGTTTCCAAGAGAGGCTGACAGTTAGAATAGGAAGATAAGATACATGAATTGTAATCTAAAGGCCATACGAGTATTGATGCAACATTTAGAATCCTTTTTATGTGTGCTCAAGTTTCTCTACTAAGATTGGTTGACTTGTGTATCTCAGGATCCTTCAATGCTCCCCTCCAACTGAATGGTATAAATCTACCATTTCATATTTGCTTACACTATTTTTGATTGTGGGGCTATAGAGTCTTACACTATTTTTGATTGTGGGGCTACAAAGTCATTTGGTGAAAATGTCAGCAAGCTGATTTCATATTTGCACATATAGAGTATAGATCAACCCACTTTCTTATTTCTCTTTTATGGATTATCTAGTTACCTTTATATATTTTATACGATTATGTTGTATTAAATTATGAGCAATGCCGATAGTAGATTTGTTATCACAATGTCTTTTTTAGTTCTTCTCATTTAATTTTTAAATATTCCAAATTTATTTTGATCCATAGATGCTCACAAATTTCTTGGGCATAGGCTCTAAATTCAGATATAAATTTAGATTTTAAAGCAACAAGTTGTTTGGCTCTCCTTCATATTATGATATTTCCTCTAAAAAATGCGCAGTACTCAATCTGTTGACCCCCATATATAATCTACAATCAATTCGAGCATGCATGACGTGAATGACAATCGACGGACGTGAGGTTGCATGTAGTGAGCATCAAAACATTCATTGTGTAGAAATAAACAAAAGCTATTTATACAACAACAACAATATCAAGCCTTTGTCCCAGTACATGGGTTGGCTACATGAATCCTTTTTCGCCATTGTGTCCTGTTAAAAGTCAAATTCTCATTTAAATCGAATAAAGATAGATCATTTCTAATATCTTCTAACCAATTCTTTTTAGGTCTACCTCTACCTTTCTTAACATAAGTCAAATCTAATACCTCTTCTTTCCTAACCGGGTCATCTAAAGGCCTCCATTTAATGTGACCAAACCATCTAAGGCGACTCTCTCTAATCTTATCTTCCATTGGAGCTACTCCAACCTCCATATATTCCGTTTTAGATCTACTCAAGCAAAAACCTTTAGACTCTAAGGTTGACCTCCATAATTCATGAAGTTTACCTTCAACTCCCTCTCTAGTCTTATCAACAAGAAGAATATCATCAGCAAAAAGCATACACCAAGGTACATCCTCTTGCAAATGTCTAGTGAGAACATCCATGACTAAAGTAAAAAGATATGGGCTTAAGGATGATCCTTGATGTAATCCAACCGAAATAGGAAAAAACTTGGTCAAACCACCTTGTGTTTGAACACAAGTAATAGCTTATGCATACATATCTTTAATGATTTGAATGTAAGCGTACTACCCATTTTCCTATTTCGGAAAAAAAGTCTCCAATCCAATGGCTAAAATAGAAAGAGGAGGCACACGAATTGCAATCTAAGATCCATAAGACAATTGATGTAGTTATTAGAACTCCTTAATCCGTGTACTCGAAGATACGTACCAAAATTGGTTTAGTCCCACAATCCTTCTACACTATTTTTTAATTTTCTTGCTTCCCCCTCTTTAGATAGTCATAAATGTCCATTTCCTTAATAAAGTTTAGGAAACATCAAACAAATCTTCTATTTGATGGAATGCAGTAACCAACACCTTGGCCTTCTTGGATTTTTCCCTTACATGTCTCAACTATGATGCACCGACACTTTTCCTTAAAGAGGTATTTAGTGTTTGACACGTATCAGACATGACATGCGCCCAACACATCTATGAGACTTTTTGGGGATGCCAAAGATGTATGTAATTAAAAAAATATTAAAATAAATTGGACACACATGTTCTAAATATTTATGAAATTTTTTTAATATAATCTCTTGTATTTCAAAATTTTTATTTATTAAAAAAATAAAAAGAAAAAAATTTATTTCCTCTCCATAGCCTCAAATCAATTGCCCGTACTCAATAACTTCATTCCCCAAACATTCACATTTTATTTTCTCTTTGGTCGGTCACAATTAAAATTTCACAATACCGCATTGTTATCTCAACATCGACGTCCGACGCCATCAAACATCAACGTTTCAAAATCATCTCTACATTGATGGCTGAAACTGTCTTAACATTGACGGTCAACGCTAATAATTTCTACATCCATAATCACACCCCCATGCTATTTCGACATCTCATCTTTTTTTAATGTCGTCACAACATTGATGACCAATGCTGTCTCGACATCGACGACCAACACCATCTCAACATCAATGCTTGATATCCATTACAAAATATCAATGCACGCCACTCAACAGCATTATCATCTCCCCACTCAATGTTTGACACACAATTGACGCCCGATTTTTGAAATCCTAATATTAATTATTTAAGCACAAATCCTTGTTAAATGACTTATTATTTCTCAATTATTTTTACTATTCTGCTCATTAAATTTCTCTCTCCCTCTATAAAATTTATAATGCCGAGTCAAACACGTATCCTGTTCTATAATTTTTAATAATTGATATATCCCGTGTCCGCATTGTCATGTATGTATTTGTGCATCATAGGGTCTCAGTAACTATGGAGGGGTGCAGCGGCAGCAAGCTGAGAGCAAGAGCAGCAGCTATAACAGCAGTAAGATTCAGCTGCTTGCAAAAGCAGAGAGCAGATGCGGCAAGCAAAAGGCTTCAGGTGCCTTTCCCGGGTCTACCCAGTTCATAATAATACCCAGCCACGGTTTCTGGAAGTAGTGGCAACAGGCTACAGTGCCAAGAAAACCTTAGGCTTCAGTTTTCTTACTACAAAAAGTCAAAAACAATGGCAGAGGGAGGAGGGGAAAGGGAAAAGAATTGGAATAATTTGATTTGAATTTATTCGAAGATATTATAACAGGGAAATGTTTGATCTACTCAGAAATAAATTTCGCAAAAAGAAGAAACCCCTATTCAATAATAACAAATTACGTAACTTCAATCTACTAAAAAATTTCATGAAAAAAAGTCTTGATCCGGAAATTAAAATTTAAAATTAAGATTATTCGACTAAGATTAAGAATTAAGACTCATTATTATTATGCTGTAATTTGAATTTTAATCCAGCGGTCTAGCTTTTGTTGTCTTGATTTCCCTCAAATGATATTATGATGTGCTATCAATTATTTGATCTTACCTTTGGATTCTTAGCAACATCCTCTTCGATCTTAATGGTGTGATTTGAGAACCACCATTGTCAATATTCTTCAATCTTCAACAATAAATTAGATCATTTGTCATCATTTGATTCGATTTTTTCTTCTTCCATGATTTGATGTCTAAATTGCAAGGAATGCTTTGTCGTGTAGTCTTATTTAAAGTGAATCATATATACCAATACCAAATTAGATAACTTCAATCTATAATATAATTTAAATAGAAATTATGTTAATAGAGAATTTAAAATTTTAAAACAAGCTTATCTAAAAGAGTAAAAAAAAATTGAATTGATTCGTAACTTGTTATAATCAAAATGTTAATTCAATGGCCTGACTTCCAGGTCCTTAATCTCTTTCATATGATGTCTAATGAAGGTTTGATTGTGCCTATGGCTCTTGGCAACATATATGACATCATGTGTGCAATATGAAAATCAACTTCGTTAACATTTTTTAATTATTATCAATTAAACGGACGTCAAGAACTAACTATTCTGATCTAATATATTCACACTGTAATGCCTAAATTAAGGAGAATGCTTCTTGTTTTAGTATTCTTTAAAATGAATGATCATATTGACTCATTATCCTCATGATCAGATCCTCATATCACTTATTTCACTCTTTGTCAAAGATGTGCAAAACACCCAAATTTATTTATTTTACTATATCTTCAATATATGTTACTCCCTCCGTCATATAATATTTTTGTTCTTCAATTTAACTTTCATAAGTTTTCCTCACATTCATCTTAACATTCTTATTTTGATTGAAGTCAAAAAACCAATCCCTCTCATTCTCTATATGTTTATTTCTCAAATTTTTTTTGTACTACTCATCATCTTTGCGTTGTCGTTGCCGTTGTCATTGTGTAATAGGTAGGCAAACTTCAATTAGCAATCATTTATTTTCAATGTTAACTGGTTCTGCTTCTTGATGCTACTGAACTTGAGAAGCATGTTCGAAATGTTGCGGGAAAATTCCTAATATTTAAACATAAGTTGTCTTCTGGCATCGGAATGCCGTCCTTAGCATTTCCTGATATTGGTAAGAGCCTAAGATTTAATGGAAACATTCTTGGTGTAGAAATATTCTGAATTTTGCATTTACCCAACGTCCACACTTTGAAGTGCATACCCCCCCAATTTTATCTTGTGATTTTTTTTTGTATCATTGAAGACATTTTATGGGACGTACCTATTGTATAAGTTTTTTTTTTTCCTTTCTTTCATACACAGCTTGTTTCTTCACTCAGATTTCAGGCTAATTGAAGAACGATCTTCACAGTGTGCATTTTTTGTTGTTTCGTATTGTTTTCATATTTTCTTCTCTATAACCAGTAGTCAATTCAAGACGATAACTAAATTCACCAATGCAGTTCTGAATTTGATGCAAAGTTTCCGATTTTTTTTTTCTTCAAATGCATTTGTTATCTATAAATGGCTTTCCTCATACACTAGTTCTATTTTTCTGCTTACAATTACTTTAGATGATCTTTTAGATTTTCATGATCATTTAAGGAACATTTCTAATATATCCTCTTACTTATCTATCAGATAAAAGGCATCAGTGAACTTTTAGAAGGTCTTATTCCTTACTCGCAGAGGCACTTCAGCAGAATTGATAGGCTTGTGAGGAGCAGTTACTTGTTGGATTACGTTTTAAATGAAATGTCCGTCATAGAACCTGAGAATGTTTCACTGCAGTCCAGTGAAACATCCGTGTTGTCCTCAGAGTTTGTTGCGCTGGAGAAGCATATTCCTTCTGAACTTTGTAAGCAAGCAAATGATCACCATGAAGTTATCAATGAAGAATTCAAGGCAATTTCTCCAGATGTGGAAGAAAGGGTTTTTCCAAAGAAAAGGAAAACAAACAAATCAAAGAAGGGTTTTTCAGCAAAGAAACTAAAGTCTGCATCTACTATTGCCTCTATTTCATGAGAAGGTTAAATCTCTCAACCTGTGGCTCTTTTCTACAAGAAGACTCTGTAGAGTCGTCTTGATAAATTTTGCAGAGTTGTACCCCTTTGTTTTATTAATTATTCTTATTTTGATTACTAATTTTATTTGGTTAGCATTTGCAATCTTGCTGATCCTTTTTTATGTTTTTTTTCAGTGTTATCTATTACAATTGTAGCCATCAATCTGGAAGTTTTTCCATTCCCTGTAATATCACTACAATGTTATTAAACATACCTCTTTTTTTGGTGCCCCGAGTTTTTTTTTTTGTTTCACAATTTCACAAGCACCTGGCTGGTATCATGGTAGCATTTTATAAACAAAGTTTTTTTCATTGCTATCTTTTTTCCCCCAAGTTAACTATGTTAATGATGTTAATGATCCAAGCTAATTGTAACATGAACTTTTTTTAATGCTTGTTTACTTCATTTGTTCTAGGTGAGAACGCACCTGATGTCCTAGTTGTCCTGAAAGCTTTTGTCTACAAGTGGCTTGGCTAAGTTCTAGTTAGGAGGACCGAAATGGTTATTTTTACTCTTTCGTTATATTAAATGGTTTTCTTTTTCAAATTAGTGTTTGAAAATGATTTAACTGATAGTTGCATCGATAATTTCCCAGTTTTAAAGTGCCAAGTGATTACAAAGCATATTGATGCCGTGGCTTTTTTTCCATTTTAATCAACTTTATTTATTTGTGATGATTTATGGATTATATCTACGGCTGATATCTAATTGAGTCTTGCTCGAGTAAAATAAAAAGTTTGATTCCGGCTTGGTTTTAAATCAAAATTATTTTGAGTTGAGATGCTCGACAAAAAATAATGGAGATATATACACACACATGCGCACGCACATGCACACATTACACGCATAGACACATGCACTCACATTTATATGCACACCCACACGGGCACACATACCCACACACATGCATGCTTATGTGCACACGCACCCGCACATATGTACAATTGCACACTTGCACACACCTGCACATGCATGGACACACCACAACAGTACACACCACATGTATATGCATGTGCGAAGAATGTGCACAATTCACCGCTCCACTCTTTTATGTTCAAGATTGCCAAGAATGTGCTCACAACAGCACAACATTATCTCACGCATATTGTCACGCAAACCTTCACGTTCCCATTTCGGACATGTCGCTTGCCAAACATGGCCCTTTCACAATTGCCCCATCAGCAGAGAAGATGAGCTTGACTGATCCAAGCATTCACCTTTGAAATGCAAGCTTGGATTTGATTATAGGGATCATCTAGAGAGCTATGCAATTCAGGTCTTGGTGGGTTATGATATGGTCTATATTTTATGCGAACATTCATGATTCCAGTGACCATTTTTATGTTCATGGCTTGCTTGCGCCTTCTTGGCTGTGTGAAATTGGTGGTTTTTGTTGTTACTACTTGCGCAAATCCTGTTATTGTCTGTCGAAGTTGGGAGGAAGGCCTCTTGTCTTCTCATTATGACCAGATAAGCTCTTTTTTCCCTCCTAAGAAGCTTTTTATGGCTGTTTTTTATTTTATGTTGGTTAATTAATCTGACACTTGTTTATGGATTAAATGCAATGTTAAGCAAATAGCCTTAGTTGACGATCCTGGATGCCAAGCAATAGCCTTCTTATCGTCAGTTGCCACCTATATTTCCTATTGCCTTTTTAATATTTTGCTCAGTATTCTACTAGCAAACTAAACCTGAAAAAATAATGTTCTTGTGCTTTTGCAAACCAAAACCCAGTGTCCTTCAAGTGAAGATTATTTGTTGTACTTACAAATAACACTCTTCATGATTTTATTAAAATAAGATAGAAAGACGTATATCCACATTCGAGGTTGGTAAATTATATAATCATAATCATCATATTAGTTGTATCCAAATTGTTTTATGTCAGTTTTATTGATCATTATTTTTCATTCTTTCTGGTTGAGTATTGTTTTAATTGGTAAGTTTATTTGCACAAATTATTTGAGTTGTTAAATCTGATTTTCATAAATCTTTTTGTACAATTTTAATTCATGCAGGCTTTGGTCTGTCTTCTTAACTTAATCCCTCCACATTATGTCCACCCATATGAATAATGCATCTTTTATGTTTTGTTGTACATATTTGGATTATTATTTGTGAAAAACATCTTGATTTAAATTCAGGAGATTTACCCAAATGTCACCGAAATTCATTATATTTATAAATCCATCACAAAGATTTACACATAAAACAACAACAAGCCTTTATCCCACTATGTAGGGACAGCTACATGAATCACTTCTCTCCATGGTGCTTTTTTAAGAGTCATTCTTTAAATCTAATAAAAATATCCTTTCTAATACTTTCTAGCTAAGTCTTTTTAGACTTATCTCTATCTTTCTTAAAATAGACTGTTTCTAATACATCTACTCTCCTAACATGGTCATTGAAAGGCTGACAGTTTATGTGATCAAATCATCTAAGACGACACTCTAATTTTATCTGCCACAGGCTACTTGTACCTTTTCACACAGATTTACACTTGCCTCTAAAATTCACCCTCGTTGCCAAACTACCATCTATCTCAAAAAATGATCTAGCACTCCTATGATTTAAACATGCCATAATCAAATCATTTGAATTTGGGGCGAAAGCCAGAAATATGGGTTGAGACTTGAGATTGAGATTTTATTGCGGAATTCGGTATTTGGTAGAAATTTGATGAATTGAGTTTACAAATCGTCAAGATTGGCAAGGAATGTATGAATTGCCTTAGTATGATTTAAAGTTAAGGCTGGTATGCTTTTGTATGATTTAGTTAAGGCTGGTATACTTATTCCGTCATGATTTCTCTCTTCACTTTCAGCTTTCTAAAAGAAGGGAAAATTTGCTAAACTATATGCCTTTCCTCAGTGTTACTCCAACCTTGCCAAATACCTTTATCAATGTGGCTTCACTTTGTACATTTAACATATATTTTTCTTGGCAATTTTCTTTTCTTTTATCCCTACAGCTTTTGTGACTATCATTTTTTTTCCTTTATATTTAATATTTTCTTATGTGCCTATGTTTAGAGGTACACCTAAAAAGATTTGTTTAAAAAATATTAGAAATGATATTTTTGTATTAGATTAAAAGCTTCGTTTGAGATGGCTTTCTTACTGTTTTTTAAAGCAACTTTCTAGTACAATAAAGAAAATTCTTATACTAAAAAACTGCTTTAAGAAGAAGTAAGAAAGCTGTCCCAAACGAAGACTTAAATAGGAACTTCACAACGGAAAAAAAAAGATTCATATGGCCAACCCCATATAGTGGGATAAAGGCTTGAAATTGTTGTTGCTACTTTTGACAAATTCTCTTATGAACATTTATATTTTTCCTTATCTTAAATATTTTTGTGAAGCAGGCTGAGTATTTTCTATAGGTAACCTTTATGATTTCTTATCAATAGTAACATTATTCTGTACTGGGATTGTTACAGTGACACCAGCATTTTTAGGCAAGAATAAAACACAAGAAAGTGAGTCAGAATCCGAGCTGAAGGATATCTGATTCTTGAGAACATTTCAATTTCAGGTGAGTATTTGTTTTTATCTGAGCTTAAAAATATATTATAATATTATGCTTTAGATTCTGGCCAAGATTAGGCCTGGGAATTCTTCCAAATGAGAAAACCTGGAAATTGAATACTGGCTAATAAAAATGGCTTTCCTTTGCACTTTACTGTGTTCTTTGTCCTTTGTGATCCATGTTGGCTGCCATTGTTGAGGAAATTGGTAATATTATGATTGTCTCAAATTTGACCTTGATAGTTCTACGTAGGATGAATAGGATTGGATGATCTAAGCACCAAAAACTTAAGTTCCTTAAACAACCACTTTTACCTAGTCGTCTGACTACGATTCTTCTGACCTCCATGTCCCGATTATGATCCTACTGACCAAATGAACAAACCAACACTTTCTTGAGAACAACTCTCATGATATCGGGTTCGTTGTATATTATTGCATTGAGCCAACATCTTCCCTTGAGGAAAGACATCATTTTTAATTAATAATAATACTAGTGTATTCATTTCGGCTAGGCAAGACCCTGTGATTTTTTTTTTCCAGGATTTTTCTTGTAAAAGTTGTGATCTCTTATTACTTTTATACCCATCTCTTTATCTGTATGTTTATTTGATCATCCTTCAAAATTAAGACGCGAAGCTCTTCATCTCTCTACCATTGCGAATATTCTAGGACCTAAAAAATTTAACTTATATGTCATCAAAAATCTCTTTGATCAGGCACGAATGTCAAAGCAAATATTGAGTTAAGACAACTTCTAAATTAAATTTAGGACAATCTGAACTCCAATTTCAGCTCTTTGGGTTTATATGATTAGAACTAGTGCTTTCATAGGAACAATTATTACATCCTCCGACCAAATGTAGAGGAACATTCGGTTTTAGACAAAAACGTGCCTACAAAAAACTCGGTACACCTCGGTATTGGCGCATTTTTGTCTAAAACCGAACGCTCCTCTACATCCTTACACCGAACGAAATAAAAGTTCCTTTCATAGAGAGTAGTGTATCTTTTTCTTTGCTGATCGAGCTACCTTATTTCAGCATGTTCTTCGATATAGTGGTAGTAATAGCATGCAATTATCGGCTATAAATATTCAATTATCGTAGTCTGCAATGTTTGGGGCTATGGTGGTGTCATGGTGTGCTATGGCAAGGTTCTCGTTGTGCTTGATGTCAATGAAAATGAGATTTATGCACATATTATTAAGAATTTTTTGTCACAAAATTATCATTTTGTTTTTAAACAAACTATCAAAGTTGTGATGTTAGTTTTGTTAAAATATGAATTAGAATTTTTTTGTTCTATTTAATATTATAGTGATGCTATTGTGAGTTGAGTCATGTGTAGGGCTGCAAACGAACCGAGCCGAGCCGAGTATGTGAGTGTTCATGGTTGTGTTCATTTAATATTATCTTGTTCAAGTTTGGTTCATGTTTATCGAGCTTTATTGTTTGTGTTCATATTTGGTTCATTTAAATTAATGAGTGTTCATGTTTGGTTCATGTTTAGTTCATGTTCGTTCACTTAGTGCTTATCGAGCTTGTTCGCAAACATATTTAACGAATTTTTTTTTAACTATCAAACGAACACGTTCATGAACATAGATATGAACAAAAATATTTATAATAAAAGCAATTGTTTATGTAACAAAGGCATTGATTATTTAGATTTATTAATTATATAGTCAAATATTAATTATTTTTATCGAGCTTATACACGAGTTTAAAATTAAACACAAATCGTGCTTTTATCGAGCTTCTTAACGAGCTTAATGTCGAGCTTGTTCGCAAACTTCAAATGATGTTGTTCGTAAACATAAATGAGCAGAACACATTAGTGTTCAAGTTTGTTTATTTCAGAATCGAGTATTTAGAATATTGTTCATGTTTGTTTGTTTAGTTAATTAAACGATAACAAACGAGCTTTAGTTGAACCGAACATCGAGTAGCTCGTCGAACGTTTGGTTCGCTTGCAGCCCTAGCTCATGTGCTGCTAGTTTTGTAAATAAATTTTTTAATTATATATATATATATAAACTCTTTTATTTAAAAAATTATTTTAAAAAATAATAAAAAAATTATCTCAAATAAAATCTAAATGGGTTAGAAATTAAACGGTCATTATGTTTTTCAATATATTGTAATATTTTTAATTGAACCGGTAGAAAAAATGTCAAGCTTTCCCTAATTATTTAATTTTCTCCTGTCAACTTCGGATTGTCGTCGTATTCCTCCGATATTTTTCTCCGATAAGTATTATTAATTTTTATATGTTATAAAATATCTTTTATTTATTGGTCCTCAAACCCACTCTTATCAGAAAAAATCTGAACGAAAATTTTTCTTCAATCAATGACACAGACATAGAAGGCCACAACACCTCTTGAAATTGATAAGAAAGAACTAAAAGTTTAATCAAAGAGATGAATTCAATGGTGATGATTTATTTATTATATAATTTTTAAAAATAAATTTAATGATTTTAAAACTAAATTTTATTTATTTTGATCATAATATTTTGATAATTTTTTTTTTTATCAAAAATGATGATCAACTTGTATAGAAATAAAATTGATTGATTAACATATTAGCAAAAGAGGAGAGGAACACGACAAAGGAAACAACAGCGAAGGCCACCGCCCCATTCTCCTCTGTTTCCACACCCTATCTTCTAATCCATCCTATTTATTAGCTCTTAATTAACCTACCATTAATCTCTTAATTAACAGAGCATTAATCTCTTACTTAACTTAACCACTTTGCATCATCGAGAAGGATGAAGTAAATCACAGCCGCCCATTCAAATCAGAAGGCCTCCACGAATGCGGACGATGAAGCAACTCTCACATCCTCTCCGTCTTCTTCTTCTTCCTCCTCTGCGTCCCAGAGGAAGTGAGCATAGGAACCCATCACATAGCTGCAAGCAATCAACATCGCCATGATTTTGCAAGATGAGGTTACGAATTTTCAAAGAAAGAGCGAGGGAAAAAATGAAGGCGGCGAGGAAGAAGAAGAAGAAGAAGAAGCAGGAAGGGAAGTACCAGTTTTCAGGAGAGGCCTCCGCAGCGCGTTCGTGATAGCTCTCTGCGCGTTTGCTATCCCTTTGAGACTCCCAAACTAATCTGCCGTAAAGCGAGAGTAACTCGCCGTCATTTGGGCTTGCGAGGATCGCCCTTCCGTAGTACTCTTCCGCCCTCTCCAAATCTCCTTCGACCTGAAACTCCGAAAATGTTAGCAGAAGACGGAGGTAACAAAGGAGAGTGATAGATGTTGAGTATTCCTTCAGATTTTTTATTACCTCGTGCAAGAATCTACCGTAATTCCTCAAAAGAAGCGGGTTCCCAGGATCCGTCTTCAGCATCTCCTGGTAATAGGTTCCGATCCTCGAATCCTCTTCGCGATTCGCTTCGCCGCCCCTTTTGCCGCCGCTGCCACCGCCCATCTTCCTCCCATTTCCGATCCCTCCTCCTGAATACAGTAGGTCCTCTGCCTCCTCCGCGATTGCCGGTGACATCGACATCACCAGATTGGCCTTCTCCTCCGAAAAACTCATCGGAGGAGACCATCTCGACTTAAAAGGAGTTGATCGGAGCAGATCGGTGTCGGATCGAACCCGCCTTATCGGATTCGGCGCTCCCGTCGGTAACGGCAGATCCCTCTTCTCCTTCACATCCAGAGACATCCGCATGCTCCAGCTGCGCCGGTTGAAATCGATGCCTACATCATGTATGCCTGACGGTGATCTTCCGGCGATTTCAGTACGGGGAGAGATGGATCCGCAGCGGATGAGCATCATCGCCGTTTTCATATCGTGATTGGACTGCTACTCTGCTTCTTCTTGATCTTCTTCTCTCTCTCCTCACAAAAGCGGCCGGCGTTATATGTAGGCGTACATGACGGCGTCAAGTTTGGGTCAGTCGTGACGGCGCTAGCTGGCGGCGATGGACCCGTTGACACGTAAGAAAGCCACGTGAGTTTTCACGGGGCGACGTGAAAGTTGAAACACGTGGAACGCTCACGGGGCCTACGTTTCGGTTCACCACGTTGCTCATGAAGCGCGACCATGGAGCCGAGAATTAAAAAAAGCCTGATGTTTTTCTTACGGGAATGAACGAAGATCTGAGTGCCACTTGTACGGTTATGCACGCAGGACAACAGGAATTAACTGCAATGAAATTAAGAAAGATCCGTGGCGAGAGAAGATTATTCATTCATTTTCCCAAAAAAAAATCTATTCATTCAAAATTTAAAATTTAAAATTTAAAAATTAATTATAAAAGAATACACAATATATTTCAATATATTATACTATCTTATGTAACAGCTTTCTTACTTTTTTTTCTTAAAACAAATTTTTAATAAAAAATACAAAAAATTTAATTTTGTACTAGAAAGTAATTTTAAGAAGCAACAAAAAAGGCATCTCAAATAAAACTTGAGACAGTTTTCTTATTATTTTTTAAAGTAATTTTTTAATATAAATATTAAAAAAAATTAATTATTTTATAAAACAATAAAAAAGTCATCCCAATCAAAAACCTTAATCTATTCTATAATAAAAATTGAATTCATTTGAGATTACATCGGATCTATTTTGGACTTTTAAGTTCGAATTATCTTAAAATTTTTAAATATTTCTGTCCTTTAAACTTTACACTGAACTCCTTGAAGCCAACCTGATGTCGTCAAAAGCTACATTGAACTCACCAAGCCCTTTCATTACTGGTTTCTCGATTAACTAGACTCAAAGCACTCTTAAGCTAAGGTCGACTAAGCCAACTCGCCCGATCTCAATAGCTAACAAACTAGTCGGCGACTTCAAGAAGTGTTAATTTCATCCAAGTCATGATTCTAGTCAATCATTAGAGGAATTATTATGTGTGAAATCCGGATGCAGCTTGCGTCTATACTCCAATTAAAATAGACCACATCACCTATATACAACTTATGTACAAATTGTACATAGTGTATATACGACGTGATCTAGTTTAATTGGGATTCAGATGCCATCCAGAGACTATGCAAGTAATGAATAATTATTAGGTCCGAACACCGAACGTAGCTCTATGTTCGGAGGTCAATAACATATCGCCACGTACTCTTACTCTTTACTGCGCGGCCCGACGACCAGACCCGGACCGAAACCCGATATTATTATGTTTGCGTATTGCTAGGTATTGCTTGACAATAACTAGAAATACCGCTATATCAAGACCAATACCTAACAATACTGAGCAATACCTAGCAAAACCAGGGTATTGCTGGTATTAGTTTTGACAGAATGATATTTCTCGTTATTGCTGAGCAATATCGAGCAATATCCCGGTCTGCACAAATCAGCCAATACATAACAATCCCGATCTGCATAATATCCCGATCGTCGGGCTGCGCGGTAAACAGTAAGAGCACGTGACATCATTTTACTAGCATCCGAACGTAGAGTTACGTCAGGGCACCGGACCTAAGAAAAATTCGCAAGCATTAATTTCTCCAATCAACAACAAATATTTCTTGTATTTATGGCTACATTCTTATATTTTTATAAGCAAGAAATTGTATTTTTTTTACTATATTACATCTCACATTTTTTTAATATTAAAGTAAATAAAAAAAAACTCAAATAAAAGGCAAAAAACATATTTCTGATTCTCCCTCGCTACAATTCTGCAATCACATTTGGTCGAGTACGGTCATGCAACCATCGTCTACTGTTCTAAGATCACCATTGCTCGACTATGATTATCTAACAAGTATCACCCAGATAGCCTCCCTCCAACCATCGCCATTGCCCGACTATGATTTCCCGATCATCATCTCCCAACTAAAATGAAAACCATTGACTTGAACGTTTTTTTGTTGCAAATAGCATTGAAGCATGCCATCGCTTATAATAAAGTTGATGCACATTGCTAACTCCAATGCTAACATTCGCTGACTTTGTCACTAATCATCGCCAAAAATGTTGACGCACGTTGTCGTCATAAAGACTAACACCCATCCATTTTTTTTTCACAACCAAAATTGATGCACATCATTTCTTATAAGGCTGATGCACGATGTTAACATTAATTCTGACTTTCAATATCAAAACAAAAATTTATATTAGACCTCTTAATCATTGATCTACGACTTAAAGACTCTTACAAATTTCACCACAAAATGAATCATCTACAATTAGTATCAACTATATTGTATCAACGTCTTCTCCAATTATAAGAGAAATTCCTTTGTGACCAACAATAAACACTACTAAAATCATTTCAACTAAATCAAACACCTTAGTTTTTCCCATTTTAAAATTTTCATGTTAACACTAATGTCTCTTGCAACTCCTTATATGTAGGGCTGCAAATGGACCGAACGTTCGACAAGCTACTTGTGACTCGGCTTGAAAAGAGCTCGTTTATATTCCTTTGATAAGATAAATGAACGAGCTTGAACACTTTTGATAAATACTCTCTATATAAAAAAACGAGCTTGAACAACTTGGCGTTCGATTCATTTATGTTCATGAACAGTATCGTTTCATGCTTACTAATCATGGCTAAAATAGTTTAATAATTTATTTTTATTTCTTGTATCCCCCTAAAATCATGAACAACTCGCTCTATGAACAAATATAAGATGAATCATAATTTATTTGTTCGTGAATGAGCTCATTTTGTAGCTCAAGAATACTCATTATATATGTTCGTGAACGAGATTGTTTGATAGTTTAAAATTTTTCTCTAGATCTAATCACGAACATATTCAATGTAATTATTTGTTAGAAGGCTCGACAAGGCTCATTTGTTAAGTTAATGTACACCTACAAGTAGAGCTAGTTTATAGCTCGATAAGACTAGTTTGTTTAAAGCTCAATAAACATGAATGAACTGAAAATAAACCCCCATTAATTTAAACGAACAAAGCTACTCGAACCCAACTTGAACAAGCCGATAATAAACGAACTCAAACATGAACACGCACATACTCAGCTCGGCTCGATTCGTTTGCAGTCCTACTTATATGTATGTATGTTGGATCTTCATAAAAAAATAAAATATTAAATGTACTATCTCTTATATCATAAAGACATAAATATTCTAATATGCAATAATAAGTAAAATCAAATCTTTCAAGAACAAAAAGATAACATGAAGCATAATGAACGAAAAACCAAGTTTTCATTGAAAAGACAGAAGGAAATGAAAGATTTTTGTTCCTTCCGCAGCAAACAATAAAGTTCGATAAAAGTCAGATTCAACTAAGTCTTATCGAATAAAAAAATCATAAATCATAAAACAATCACCAATTAATCCTTCGAAGAACCCACTGACGGATAGAAAAATGACTAAATGACAATGTAATGGGACTTAGTCGACTGTAACTATAATATAATGCAGCAGAGCAGCTCCTATAAATGATTATTGTTCTTAAGAGTTGCAGAGATTTTAGTTGAATCGTTCAAATTTCAAAGCAAAGGTAAAGGAACAAAACAAAGAGCTGCATGACCAAAACAAAAAAGTTCGTAAAGTCTGTAAATACTCGCTAAAATAACACAGATGCGAAGAACTTACCGCACTGTCTTCATGATTTTTATCAATTTACCAGCAAGAACGGTTTCCAGCACCATAGGAAACTGCCGAAAATGGAAACAAAAGCTTTTAGTGATAAATCATTCTAAAGTTTAAGCAAGATCAATAGACTTGTTTAGGTATGTTCATTTTAATTTTAAAAGTTTTCGGGTGTCCAATTTAGGCGCTTCGTTTGAGACGGCTTTTTTACTGCTTAAAATGACTTTCTAGTAAAAAATTTACAAGAAAGCTGTTTTAAACAGTAAAAAAGCCGCCCTTAACTCATCAAATCTGAATTAATTTGGCCATACTAATAACTGTCATTTTTTTTTGTCATACTTTTTAGATTCAATCTCATTAGCTTGATTTGGCACACTAAATAGTGATGAGTGATCACTAAGGCACAGATTTAACCTTGCTTTGATATCAAATAAATGTTGAATCAAATAAATTGCCTTGATTTATTTCTAAACTACTGCAGGTGCATGTAAAATAGAGGTAGACCTAAGAAAACTTAGAAAATATTAGAAATGACTTTTTTTAGTAGATTTAAATAAGAATTTGACTAATAAAAAAGACAAGTGTAGAAAAAAGATTCATGTAACTGATCTCATCTAGTGGGATAAAGGCTTGATATTATTGTTGTTGTAATACAGGTGCCTATACATGAGAAAAAACATGCGATAACGATAACATAGGAAAGAAATAATAAAAAATAGAAAAAAAAACATTTCTAATTATGAATATATTAGAAGAATGAAGAAATACCTCACATTCGCATCTTCAAAGTGTCATAAGCCTTCATTAAGCTAAAGTTCTCCTCTCTTTTCACCTTCAGAGCACTTCATTGTAAATTTCTTACATACACAGAGTTGCGTGTTTCCTTGGCTAAGAGCTGCTTATACAGCCCAAGTTAAACAGAGAACTCAGAGAGGTGCCCTTTCCTGGAAGAACGAGCTCTCCTTACCCCAATAAAGCAAAAGAGGAATTTATACGAGCCCTCTCTGTCGGCTTTGTGCGAGAGAAGAGCTGGAGGAGTAAACATAGACAGTTTGTGCAGAATCATTTTAAAATTCAGCTGCATTATATTGCTCTACTTTCTTTATTGCACTTTCAATTTACTGGTTCTACAATTACTAGCCTTCTATTTGCAGAATATTGCTCAAGAACTCGCTCTCATACTCTCAACGAGATATGTAATAATAACCATGAGTGTGGGTCCTAGATGGTGAAAATTATGCAAGCATTTCAAGGTTGACCCTAAGAGATTGTTCCTGATAATCTCTTTTATTTTTTTTTTTTGAGACATGTTGTTGTTGAGACATTTAGGCCAATTAAGGCAGATTCAGACACACAACGCATATACAAGACTCGAAACGAAGATCTCTTAGTTGGTAGCCTAAGCTCCCAACGAACAGACCAAGATGAGCTATGTACCTGATAATCTATTGCAGAAAATATCAATAAATTGTTCAGCTGTATATGTATTTTTATTATGATATGGATATTCCATGTCGAGAGTGTGCAACTTCAATGTTAGTAAAGTACTTCAGCTTGCCTAATTCTTTAACATTGAATTCTTGGAGCAATATTTTCTTTTAGGCTTTCACTTCTTTCAAGTCTTTTTTACAATCCTTATTAGTTGCTAAAGATAAGAGAAGTTTGACTGTGTTTATTTTAGCAACTAGAGTAAAATTTTCAAGATAATTTATCTCATATTTTAGAATGTGGCTTTTGGTTAATATTCAAGCTTTATTTCTTTCTAGTGAATCGTCAAATATATATTTTTTCATCTGCGTCCGACCAATTTCTTTCCTTTTAATAATTTTACCAATTTTCATATTTTATTATTTTGAAAGATTTTCATTTCTTCCCTCATAGAATTATTTCAATTCACATTATTTAAAGTTTTAGAGGTTGTTTTAAAGATATAAATAGTATGCAAATTTGTAAGGAAAAAATGGTAATTATGACAAAAATCTTTGTATGATTAAATTAAGCAAGGGATGTTTAGTGAAAATCATTGTACCTTTATTTCTAAGCTTAATTGAACCCTCAACAGATTCAGTGATAGGGATTGATTCGGCTAATTGGATTTGCGTGGATGAAGATGTCTTTTTTTAATAAACCTATCATGTCTAAGTGAAAGTGACTCTATTATAGGCTCAATTTATAATAGCTCATATTTTGACTTTGTTAAATTTTTTTTTTTTCTAGAGTTGTTATGAGTTAAATTTAAAAATCGTCTTCGTAATATGATAGAAATTATTGTGTTTTAATTATACAAATTTTTTCATAATTTTTGGACACCGGTGAAAATCCTTAAGAAAATGATACCTATTGGTACAAAATAAGATTTTGAGATCATTAGGTGTTTATTTTGCAAACCGATTTCATCAATAATTTCTAAATAAAATGATTTATTTTATGAATACTTTTCTATAATTTTAAAGCCCAAAAAAATTTATATGAATTTTATATTGAAAATTTGACTAAATTAAATAGTTATATTAATATTATTATAAATATCTTAAACCATTATATAACTTTTATTGATCTTTTTTTTTTCTTTATGATTTGGCTAACAAAGAAGGCTTAGGGAGAATTAGAGAGAAAAAGATGAGAGAGAAAGGAAATCCTAGGGTTTGGAGCCCGTATAAGTTGAGAGATTTGCTCGCCTCGTTGTAAGGAACATTTACCATATTTCTGATTTCAATAATTTCATATTTTTGTCTTTTTTTGATCAAAATTGTATTTTCGTTATAAAAAAATGAGGATAATTTAGTATTGGTAAAACTTTACTGCATAACTTTTTATATGTTATAGAGATCGAGATTATGAACGTTTTAAATATTTATTTGAGATTTTTCGCCATATTATTTTGAAAAAGTTGCAATTTTTGTCTACTCTGAATTTTATTTTAACATATAAAAATAATGCTTTAGTTCAATAAAAAATTCAGAATGTTGTTATATTCAATCCCTATTAATTTTGTTAATTTTTGAAAATATGAATGTTTGTTCAACAAGGTTTTTTTATTGCCTAACATTAGGACATTTTAACACTTTCTGAATTAAGATTAATTATATTTTATTTACTGCAATGTATTGTAAATGAATGAGGATATCTGATCGAATAATAGCTGATCGCTATTACTGTTAGAATATTGTGATAATAATATGCGTGGGGGGGCGGGGGGAATGAGTAAAGACTGATTATTCACTGACTTTGGCTAGAGACTAATTGACCTGTATAGAATGGTGGGCAGACAGAATTTTCTTTAAATACAATAATTCGGTGATACCCTCTATTGATTCATGTGATAATGATTGGGAGTTATAAGGATATGATTATTATGCCAACGGGCAAAAAGTGACAACCCTGTTTACTAAGCCAACGGGTTACTTATATGATTTGCCTTGGTATCAAAAACAGCCCACAAACAAGATGAATTCAACACAAACATATTTATTGCTAGGAAAACAAATAACAAGAAGCAAGATACAATTGATTCTCAATTCGAGAGGATGATCGATCTCTCCTAAGTCTCAAGACACCGCTAGAGACCAAGCACCAAAACACTAAGAAAAACATAACTCTCATAAAACAATAGCATAACTCTAACTTTATCATTTCTCTCTTATTTAAAGCCATCACAAAAATCAGCCCCCAGGATCCCAAATCAGCCGCCCCCCTCCATCTTGCCAAAACCAAAATTCTACTTCAGGTAAGGGATCTCCTTCAATGAGCCGCCCCCTCCATCATGCCAAAACAAGCTTCTCAATTTCAGTCGTGGGCCCCATCAGTCAGTCACCCCCTCCTCTTGCCTAATCCCCTCTTTAGCTTTCACGTCGTGAGCCCACGAGCTTGATTTGTTGGTTGGGCGAAACAGTTGTCCCGCACCCGCTGTAAAACAGCCCGGCCCCAGTTCTAGCCCGGCTGGACTGATCTATCATGAGATTGATACTGATACCGGAAAAACATCACTATATACATGACATTTACTTGTTTAATATGATTATTAGAATGCATGCTACTAAATCACTGCCACTATATGACTTTATTGTTACTTCCGCCCATGATGTTGATGTTACAACTATTCTACTATTATTAATATACTAATCACGAGATATATATTGAGCATGTGTACTGGACACTAACACTTGCTTAACACTGATATGATATTTCTGAGCATGTGATATATGTATACAGTTATTTTTATATGATTTTACTGTATTAACATAATTTTGATAGTCATTTTCAATGTTTTAATTTGATATTTTATATGATTTCTCTATTGATTGTAGTATTGATATGTTGATTTCTTTAGTGATTTGATAATTGTACTGACATAAAGATTTCTCTATTGTATTGCCCTATGATCATGTGAATGCTACTGTTATGATTTAACTGTTAATATGCATATTGCTCCTTTATCTTGTGTTGAGTTTAGTTGTAGGTTTTGGTGACCTACTAGCTTTTAAGTTCATTATATGTGGTTAAATATTTTCAGGTTAGAACAGAGGATCAATTTTGTGATATTGATCAGATCAAGATTCCTTTAGGTCGGGTTCTTCTTATCTTAGTTCTTCTTTGGTATTCAAGACATAAAAGTTATGATATGATTGTATAAATCTTAAAGAACGTGTATGATTTTTGGGAAATGAATACAGATGTATATATTGATGTTTTAATCTATAAATTTATTTTTGTTGTTATTTAGATTGATAAAAGAAATTGGATAGCTTTGGTTGTGCAAATTAAAAAAATAAAAAAATAATTCTTTCAAATAAGATTATGGGGCATCACACAGTTTCGATAGAAGTTGCTAGTTCTTAAATAGAGTTTTTTTTTGTTGTTGAGACAAGGGGTAAAGAAGGATAATTTGGGAAAAAGTTATTCGCAAATGATATTTCTTCATTACGATAAGTAGAAATAACATAGTGATCCTTTTCATTTAAAGTGAAATCAGTGGATGCATTCCCTTTTCTTATGGAAAGATAGATTTTGTACCTTTTTCATATAAGAGCATAGCTAATAAAAATACATTTAATTTCTTGAGAATCAAGTTGTCTTTTATTTTCGGGAAGTCCATAAATAAAGATAACACTTTAACCATGTTAAATTTTTTAATTTCAACACCAATTTTCTTTTTAATCGTGTTAAAAAATATGAGAAAGATGGTAATTCAATCAATTTTGGTTTAATAATGAAATTCCCTAGAATTTATTTTGTTGAATAATGAAAGAAATATAATTTAAAAATAAATAAATAATGGGTGGCCTAGGCATAGGTGTTGAAACTAATATTTTTCTTTATTGGACCTACGGTTTATGAGAAGAGAGATAAAATTGAGGGTTGTATGGAATTTTCTTGATGTATATGGATGATATTTCAGAAAGTGAGGGATTTATTTATAAGAAAATCTCTTTGTTCAACCATAGTAGTTAAGGTCCTTAAAGGATCCATCGATTTTAATTAGTTTTTTTATTGCCACATAAAATGGCTGCCTTCTGATGACCCGGTTAGGAAAGTATATGTATTAGATTTAACTTATATTAAGAAAGGTAGAGGTAGACCTAAAAAGACTTGGTTAGAAAAATATTAGAAATGATATTTCTTTATTAGATTTAGATGAGAATTTGACCTTAACAGAACACAATGGAGAAAAATGATTCATGCAGCTGACCCCACATAGTGGGATAAAAGCTTGTTTTTGTTATTGTAGTATTGCCAAAATAAGAGGGATATGAAATGAATTCAAGAGAAGAGATTGCATATAATCTTTAACTTACAAATTAATGATGCATAAGCTATAACTGGACATCTCTGAGACTTTTAAGGCATGAGAAGAGGAGATAATCACTGATGCAAGAGATATAAATAGACATCTATGAGACTTTCAAGGAGATGGAAGATAAGGTAATACCTAATAATGATATAAAGAGTATAAATATTTATTGCAGATATTTTTTTTAGGTGCTTCTAGCAAGTTTTTTTGTCTTTTTAGACCTCATAAAAGGCCTAAATGTTCTTCTTCTCTTTAAGAACATTTGAACCAATCATGACCACTTCAGATAATTATTTTCATTCAATCGCTATGTTAAAATGATGTTTTACAATTCTCCTATTAGATTTAAATTTAATCTCTCAATTTCATCAGAATCCAAAATAGAAGATATGTGGATACTATTACTACTGTCAATGGAGAGAAAAAAAATGATTTTGTTCAAAAAATAAAAATAAAAATGAATGAAATGTGACAATGTAACAATGAGGTTGCAACCATGTAAGGATGAAGATTACAATAATGCAACGATGAGGCTGCATTTATAAATAAAATAAGCAAGAAAATGAATTGCAATAATAAAATCTTGCAAGTTCTTCCCGAGCTCACACTAAAGAACTACCATTTTTATGCTTTTGTTCACACTTAACATATATAAATACATTCCTCCTAACTTAATTGCAGGCTCGCATCAAAATAGATATCTTCATGTCTTATACCATTTAGTGGTGAGTATATTCAGTACAGTTTGGCACTAAACCTTGTCATCTCTATGCTCACAACAACTTAATTTTTTATTCAGACTTCAACGATACTATTGGTGCCATCAATGGCACTCATGTACCATCAATTGCTAACCAGAAAAAAAACAAAGTAGGTATCATAATGGGAAGGAGTTCACAAGGAAAAATATAATGATAACAGCTTCATTTGATTGACAAGTTGTTTTTATTAACTTGGGTTGGGAAGGATCAACCATAGACAAGTGATTGATCAGGAAGGTTTCTCTATAGATAAAATAATTAATTTTTAAATTAATTTATCAAATAAACTAAGATATATGTTGTATTTTTGTAATTATTTTATAATTCACAATAGCTCCAACTTATGACTTAAGCCTATGTTTAAGCCAAAGTTATAAAAAAAAAATCAAACAACTTCAGCAGTTATAACAGCTTATCTTTTTAAGCTATCAGATGGCTTAACTATGTTTCAAACTTGAAGAGTTATAAACTTACAGATCCAGTTTTTTAACTTATCCTTAGTTTACAAAAATATGCCTTATTTTATATTTGGAAACAAGAACATGCAATCTTCTATTCATTAAAAGTTCAAAACTTTCCATATTTTAAACATTGAATAGATTTGGTAAATTCTAAATTTTTAGTGGGATAAAGGCTTGATGTTGTTGTTGGTAAATTCTAATTTTTAGTTACTAATAAGGAATTAACTAGTATGCAAGAGCCTCTTAATAATATCACTAATGATGACTTTGACATAGTCCACTATTCACACCCCTAAGCCTCTAGACTCCCTTTCATGATAATGTCCCTTCAAATGATCACTTTACAGTCATTTGCCCAGCATAAAGAATAAAGCCATGTTCTCTTACAATGTGGCATCAACTTCAATGGTAATTCAACAAAGGGAAATATACAAAATTTATAAAAATCTTGCCTCTTTTTACCTAGTAAAGTTCATGATGACTGCTGAACAATACTTAATGCAATGTTATAACTAAAAGAAATATTAAAGAGGGCTAACATCAAGGACAAGCTCTTACAGAAGTAAAAGTAGTAATTCAGTAACTAGAAAACTAGTGAAGTTAATAATAAGCAGTATCTATGGACATAAAAACAATACCAAGAAAATGGACCATGATTTAGTTTAAGAAGTCAGAAAACCAATGGGCGCTGCAATGTGTATTTTCAAACAAAAAATGGCATAATATATTTATCCGTGCATAATAACTTTCCTCTTTCTGATGCAATAACAGCATTAAAGCTCTCAGGACTTAGAATTTATGGATCACAAAAGTCAATATTTCAAATCAATCTTCCAAAGAATGATTTTAGGAATGCAATCCGCACTCAGCAGATGAAAAAAGTCATCAACATGTTGAGATTGTAAAGATTGGCAATTAACTGTTATATTCACATTGACAAAGAAGAGCAATTCTGCTATATTTTGTCTGTAAAAAGGAAAAACATGAATGATTATGTTCCCCACAATAACTTGTGCCTGGTAATACAAAAGCTTATAAAGAATTCATGAATGAAATTCAAGGCTTTAAGCAAAATACATACAGAACAAATAAACCTTTCAGGAAAATACAAAGCACAACTACTATCATCTAAAAAATTCTCGTCCAAATAAAATCAATAAGCTTATTCAATTAACTAACAAGTATTTTGCACTAGGATTAAAAAAGTCAAGAAGCTACAAAGTGATTGATTGAGCTGCACAAACCTTGTCTCAGCCATGCCTCCGTCCGCCTCATCCCCTTAAACGACAACTCTACTGTATCTTGAGGAAAAAGGCTAAACCTTTCTTATTCCAATTTATCCGGTAATTCGTTTTGTTTTATGGTCATAGCAGAACTCAATCACAGTTGATTGCGTCTCCAAGCGTTGATGATACAGAAAGAAACTCAGGCTCAGCAAAAAAATGAGAGTATAGGGAATGAGGAAAGGACAGCCAGACCGCACCATGTACTTTTCACGTCTTCAGCGTATAAGAAAATGCTACATCTCCCTCCATCTAGGGCTCAGCTGAGGTAGGAAACCAGAGGGTGAAGGTGGGAACAATAAACTCGGAGAGTGCGGTGGCTGAGACCCAGGCCTTGGCCCCAATATTCCCGACTGGGGCATTGGTGAGAAAGAGAAATTAGGTGTAAAAGGTTGCGGATGCTGAAACCCCGGAGAAAGCAGTGGGTAGGGCGATTTTGGTGATAGAAGATTCAAAAATGAGCTTGGAGACGGCAATGGTAACATCGAGTTTGGAGACGTTAAGGGGAACTGAGATCCCGGCGACAGCGGTGGGAATTGTGATCCGGGAGACGGAAGCAGCCCTGGCTGCATGGAAGCCGGCAAGGAAGTGGCAGAAGGAGGAGGGTTTCCCCTCAGCGAGGGAAAGGGAACACCGGCTGGCAAGAATCCTTGCGCGGGGGTACGCCTAGAGCTATCTGAGCTGAGAAGGGAACTCTCGAGGTACCTCATGTATGCGGAAACCGGCGAATCAGCCCAGGCAACACCCATATGGGGAGTCGGAGAAGGCGCTGGCCGTGGGTAGTAGCCAGGATTCGGATTGAGATTCGGGTTAGGGTTTTGATCCGGCGCCAAATTCTGCAAAGGTAGCGGCGGCGGTCGGGAGATCGGTGTGAGCGGCGGCGGCCTAATCTTCATGAGCCGCGAGCTGGGGGCTTTGGGCTGCGGCGGCCGTGCCTGCGCAGGAATGTTTACGGCGCCAGCAGGATCCCGGGCGGGGCTTCCAGTGAGCTGCTGCACGATGCTTCGAAAATCGCTTTTGCTGATATTGTAAACCTGGGGCTGCGGCGGCGGTGGCGGCAGCGTCGCACCCGCCGACGGCTGAATCTTCTGGAAGTTGTGTTGATGAAGAGGGCTCTTGCGAATGCTCTTTCCTAGCTTGTTTACACCAAGGTGATGCTGGTGATGGCTCCTCGAGTTTTGATCCATCTCTCCGAAATCACCAGATGAATGGAAAACAAAATGGATTCGAATCGAATCGAATCGAATCTGAACGAAACAAAACAATCTCCTCTTCTTCTCTCCGGCAAAGGGAAAGAGAGGAAGAGGGTTTCCAGAATTGGGCAACGGATCTAAAGTATAGATCAAGACTGAAAAGATTGAATCAGAAGATGTAGAACTGGAGAGAAGAGCGGCGAAAGCACGGAAGGGAGGTTCGGAGTTTTGACTTAACGAACTCGATCCAGGAGTTTCGTGAGGGAAGTCCCGATGAACCAGGTTTGCGTAGGGGTAAATGTTTAAATATGGTTGTTGAGGATCCCATGCGAAGGACGTCAAAATGGTTCAACGCGATTTTGATCGTACATACTGGGGGATCGTTTTGTTTGCTAATCGTAAAGATCATCATCAATGAGCTAGCGGTTGGTGCTGTGTTGAACATAAGTTGTATACATGAGTTGGCTATCGACTTGTTTGGCGGGTTAACAAATAGACCGTATTGAGATGAGAATCCAAATGGATATGGAGGCATGTTGGTTAGAGCTCTCAAAATTGGATCAAGAGCAAGGTTCGGGGATTTGACCTAACACAAGATGGCCCGACTCGAAACCAACTCGTTTTTGCAAACTTATCACTTTTTCGGACCCAAACCTGACCTGCTTCAGACTCGGTTCAACCCGACACGACCCGCCAACCTGGGTCACGAGCTTATCTTCAACCTCTGCTGATGATGGGCTGGAGTGGATGGCGGAGACGACAGTGATAGAGGAGGAGGAGGAGGCAATAGTGGGCTGGCGCCATCTGTAGCCTCCGCCATCTGCAGCTTCTGCCATCAACGTCAACTCTATCACCTGCAAAGGTTGCAGATGGCGAAGGCAGCAGTGAGGGCAAAGGTTGCAGATGGCGGAGCGGATGGTGGCGACGATGGATGCGGCGGCAGAGACGACAAACTGCTTGGTTATGGCAACCTTCGGATACCAGATGGCGGTTCGACGGATGGCTCGGCCGAGGTGGTGGCGGATGGCGGGTCAACCTAAGGATAGCGGCAAGTTGCAAAAACCTACAGCTTATTTCGCAGACAGCGGACGACTTGCAGACAACGGAGCTGATGTAACACATGACTTGAAGCGATGTAGGAGTTGAGAGCTTGACGTGATTTGACGAGAGCTTACATGAGTTAATGAGGATGGCTCGCGAGCTTGATGTGATGTGGGTTTCCAAGTCTGTCTTGGTCAATGTCGGGTTAACGGGTTGACACGGACCGAACTCGTTTTTTCAAATGGGTCAAAACCTGGAACCCGACTCGTTTGCGAAATGAGTTGACCATAACCCAAAATTTTCGGGTCGGATTTTCGAGTCGTGTCAAATATTGACATCCCAAATTTTGATTTGCTAAAAAACAAAATAATAATAAATAAATAAAAGTAAAATAGCTATTTTAATGCTATTTGATTATTTGTAAAATAAATATATAAAAATTAAAGTCTTCGTTTGAGACGACTTTCATATTACTTATTAAACCAACTTTCTAGTTTAAGAATGGAATATTATGATAATTATCTAAGAACTTTTCATGCAAACAAAAATTTCAAAAGCAAATTGTTATAATGAAATCGAAGAACTAAATGTCCTAAAAGAAATATATATATATATTAGTTTGGATTCAAACGGACCAGCTCAGTTGAAGCTAATTATGAGTAGAACAATTAATGAGATCTTATTCGCATTAATTGTGAATATTAATTATAATCTATAAGATTAATATGGCTGCCATGTCAAAGATTTTACATTGCTTATGCTGGTTTGTTCAAGGATATAATGCCAACATTTTAATTACATATCCTACTTATTTTGGTATATTTGCAATTCTTGATTTTGCAATTCGGATTTTTTTTTGTCTAACCATTGAGTTTTATTATTTCCTTAAATTTTATTTTATATTATATTATATAAATTTATGTTAATTAATCTTCAATTGTTGTTGTTATTTTAAAATTTAATTATTAATCAACCAAACTATAGTCCTAATTAAAAGTATTTAAATAAGAGGAAAAATTCAGAGATATTTAACTAAATAATAAATTGCGATTGATAATTAAGAGTGGCATTTTATTATATATAAAAGACTAAATTAATTAAACATTTAGATTATTTTAATTAATTTATAATTAGCTATTTGTTAAAAAATTAAATATCCATACGCAAGAAATATAATATTTAAATAATAAATTTTATTTTGAAATGAATGACTTAGTTATCATTTAATAATTATAAATTCAAGAATTAAAAAAATAAGTATTATCAGACTCATTTATATTCCATTATTCTTTATTAAAAAAAAAATTACGCATACTCTTTTCTTTGAGAATTCTCTTACGTAAAAAACAAAAAGAATGGGGTGAGAGAGGCTCGAACTCTCGACCTCAGGATAACTCAGAAGCTATGAGACCTACGCGCTAGCCAACTGCGCCACCACCCCGACAGATATTGAAGCATGTTTCATAATTTACTTATTCCATTTTCTATGATAAATTATTTTATTTGAATTATGAAGTTTTTTAATTATTATTATCTGAAAGAACATAAATTTTTTCATATATTATATTAATTTTCACTTTACAGGTTTTCATTCAATTTTTTTAGACTTTTGATTGTGAATTGAATAACATTTTTTTTTCACATGATTGCAAAGAAAAAGCATTGCTTAGCTATGGAGATCACCATTTTATGTATTTTAGTTCATTTTGTTTGCTATTTTGATTGAAGAAGTTCTACACATAGAAGACGCAGAGCACCAAAACTTCACAACTCAATAATATAACATAAAAATTAGATCTGCAAAGAAAAAATGATAATATAATATAGAAAATACATAAAATGGTGAACAAATATCATAATATAATTTAGAAAATAGAGTACCTCAACATTACAAATATGATAGTGATGAAGAGAAAGAGCTTTTAAATATAATGAGGAGAAGGATGAGGAAAAATTAATACTTAAGGATTATTGGCTCAAGGATGAAGTGCTCATCACTTTACAATATATATATCAACAACTATTTAGATAAGAGGCAAGAGAAGAACTAATGAAAATGAGACTCAACGTTATTATTATAAAGAATGCATGAATAGTGGGAATGAATACCGTCAACCATAAGATTGCCAATAGTTTGAAGTCTTTGACGATCATCCTAGTCTATATAGAGAATCGAAGAGAGTAACTTTTGAACAAAATATACTTATACCAGTTAGACGTAAGGGATGAAGTGCAACGCTTTTTTATATGTTGACGATGACAAATGATGATAATAACTGAGGGTAATTTTTTTGTAGATTAAAGAGAAACACATTGTACCACAAACCCCTCATAAGAGATAGTTATTAAGCCAAATATCATTAAAAAAATTGAGAGTGGCGTCTTTTTTAACTCTGAAATTGAGTTGTTTCTTAATCGTGATGCTCAAATTATTGAAAATCTTGAGAGTGACATTATTTCGCACTTTAATGGAGGTTGTATCCACCGAAGTTATTAAGGGGCTGTTTGGTTGTCTGAATTAGGAGTGTAAAGTAAAATAATTACATGTATTTACTAAATTTGGTTGTTCGATTATTTTTGAGTGGAGCAAAAGAAAAGCCTCCGAAGTATTAGGCGTGTATTACAGGGGTTGTTTTGCGCGAATTAGAAACCCGCTCATATTGAGCGGGTTATAAATTCGCTCCACGGAAAATTCCTTCGCGTCGTTGCTGTTCGGCTTCATTGCTTCGCAGGAGGTGTAAGATTGCACGAGAGGCTTCTTCAGATCCTTCGTTCTTGTTCGACTTCGCTCTTTCGACGCGACGACGTTCCCATCTTTTACTCTTATGCACTACTAACATTAAGTGTAAATTCATATTCTCAAAGGGCCTAAAAATAAGGGTATAAGATGTTTGGAGAACCTTAAAAGATTCAAGAGATCTTCATGCCAAGGGCAATATGATGATATCAACCCTTCTTTTACTCTTGTTGTGACCCTTAAAAATTTGGATTATTAAGATAAATTGAATAGTAAATAATTTATAATAAAATAACATTAGGTTGGCAATATAATTCCCATATGAGTTTCATCTATCAGAGTTCCACAACAATGATTATATATGAGATTCTCTTACATCATATCAAGAACAAAGATAGTTAAAGATGATAAAAGGAAGGTGCCTCAAAGTATATATGTTTATATCACTTTTGATGGAGGAAAATCTATTTTGTCCCATTACAATATTATATGAAATTACATTTTAAAGGATAAAATTGATTACCATTATTGTTCTATCAAATAGATTCCTAAGAGGTTAAAAAAAAAATTTAGTTGTACCAACCTTATTACAACCTTATTATGACATAAAATAATAAGGTTAATTTTTTAGAAAACTATTTTAAATTAAAAATATATATATCTAAAAATTGTTCATATGCTTTAAACAAGCTTATGCTCCATTTGAAATAACTTATTTTATTACTTTCTAAGCAGTTTTTTTAGTACAAAAATTTTTAGTTAAATTTTTTTTTTTAAAACTACGAAAGTCATCCCAAACAAAACATTAATGATAATGATAATGTATAATCATATTTATTAAAGAGTGATAAAATGTAAATATTAATAAAGTTTATAATGAATATTATGGAGATTAAAATGCTGCAAAAATAGTAGTGTTAAAAAAAACTTATACCATTTGATAATTATTAAAAAGAAGGGGAAAAAAGATAAGACAATGAATAACAAATCCAAAGACTTAAATTAATTTAAATGAATTACAGAGAAGGATATCAAAGAAAAATTAAAATACTTCCATGAGATACAAATTTTAAGAAAAAAAAATCATTTTTATGAAGTACATTTAACAATATAATGAACTATATTATAGTTTGACTCCAAAAAAAAAAACTCTTAAATCTAAACGAGATATTTATTCTTCAAAAATACTCTTAAATAAGGAAAAATAAGATTTCAAACCTGATAATTGGGACATATTTGCATTGAAAGTTTATAATGAATCCAAAATACAAAACAAAGAACATGAAAACTGAAAGGGTTCCATGAGACATTCTTACAGTAATGGCGGTGGAAGATTTTGCAGGAACAATCCAACCATCCCAACCTTCAACATGTCTTGCCTACTGAGAAAGAATTGAAGATACAGCAGAACACACAATAATGCAGTATAACTATACAAAAATTTTAAAAAAACAAACTCAATGAAATGTCTATTGATTAAATAAGCTCTTCTGTATTTGCGTTGTGATGATAATTGTTTAATAAAAACGCAAAGAAGAGAATCTCTCAGAAAAGATGGAGAACTGAAGCGTCCATGGACTTACGGAACTCAGGTGAGATCATCATCATTTTGTTCCTTGGCTTTCAGAGCACTCTTTGCCCGCAGAAGAAGGGTTGTCTTCCATGGATCCTGTAGTTGATTAAGCACAGTTGAGCTTATGCCTTATAGTAGCAAGACATGACTGTTAATGTCTTTAAACTTAGATGTAAATTTATTGCAGGAAAAGTAGATTTTTTTTTTAATATTATGAGTATTATAGACTTTGTTTTTTATGAAAAGATTTGACTATAAATAACTCTTTATCGCATAAATACATTTTAAAAAAAAACTGTTTCAACATATATTTGGACCTTCAAACTATTTTTTACAAATAAAATGCAAATGTAACTTTGTATCTGATACATCCATCAGATCAAAAAGGCTCAACATCATGTATAAAAAATAGTAAGCAGTGCTTCGAAGAAGTGCTTGTTGCAATATGGGAGTCTAAACTTGTGTTTTAATAGTTACAAATATTATTGACTGCTTATTTTATTTTCTTTTACTTTATATTGCATATATGTTTCCTATGCACTACTAACATTCAGATCAGCATACAAAAAGTATCGTCAAATAATCATAGCTCAAGAAAGTGTGTGGGAGTCAATTTGCTTCAGAGTTTGTAATTTTTATTTTTCTCGAGACAATATTTATAATAAGTGTATGTTGGGTTAGCAACTATGCATGTAATTAAATATTTTTATTTTCTGAACATAGTACTAGACGAACTTAATCGTACTGAACGATCTATGCAATCAGAAATTAATTAAAATATTTAATTAAATAAGTTGTAAAAGGCTATAACAAATCATATTGTACGATCACAATATTGTACATGACGATCAGCTATATTGGGTATCCCCGTCGTGGTTTAAATTAGACAATAATTCAAATTTTGAAATTGTTTTGATCTTACTGTACGACCTAGAAATCTTAATTTAATCCCTATGATTAAGCAATCAAAACAGGATTAATTAAGATTCATTATTGTATAGGAGGTCGCTTTGCCGATCGCACGCTACGATCATCAATCTTAATTAATATTGCTTCGATTGCTTAATTATATGGATTAAATTAGACAAGCTTTTTAAACATCATACAGTACGAACTAGTAAGAGGGACTCGGATTAGGTGGTGGCTGGAAGTAACGGTGTAGTGAAGCGAGATCATTGAAACATGCACGATTATCCTCGTGTTATTGTTGTATTTGGTGCTGCAACTGATATCAACGAAATGTGAACTCCTGTATGTGGGTCTCCAGTCGTAACTCAAATCAATAGGTGCTCAACCCACGAGTCAGGATGTGGTGGTTGAAAAGTTGGTGCTGGTGCCTCAGGTACTAATGGTGCTCCCCGCTGTTTGATTGAAAAAAATATATTTTGAAAAAGAATTAATTTTCTTTGAGAAATTTTTAATTTTTAATTTTAAAATTGAACACGTCATTATGAACAGTATATCGCCTCGAAAGACGAACATATCATTCCCTAATGGGTTCAAAATTCAAAGTTTAAATTCATCCCAATTACTATAATCAAATTCAATAGGAGACAACATATGATCCCAAAGGATCATAATGATATTTAACTATAATGATCGGGATAGGGGATCATTAATTTCATAGTCAGAATAATAATAGAACGACATATCTTTCTGGGGAAAGAGGATATCGCTTATTATTAATCATTTGAAAATGATAATAATGATCGAAAAATTTAAGTTTCCCAAAGATAATTAATTGAAGGTTTTGAAAAGTTTATTCTTTTTTTAAAAATCATGTCTGGGTTTTAAATCTCCTACGAGCGCAAGACCTCGTAGTTAATTACATCGTAGGAAAATTGGAATTTTTCTACGAATACTCTCGATTAAAATAGCGGTAAAAATTTCATTTAAGAATTCAAAGGACGATATCAAAGGAGGTAAGGGTTTGAATTTTCAATCAAGATTTGTTCGAGGTTGAACACTTATTTCTGGAGTCAAAGGAGGAGAAGTAGGAGGTGCTTTGAGATTCTGAATTACTTCAAAAACAACTCAGCCTATCCTAAGTGTTGGGCTTGAATTTGATTGAAAGTGATTTAAGTTTGAATGGTTGATTTTATTAGAAAGTTGGGACTTATAATCTCGATCACTAGATCGGGAGAATGCCCAGGAGGAAAGGGCGAAGACTAACCTACCAAATGGGTATGACGTCCCCGGTCAAGATCCCATGGTTTTCCATCGTCCCGGGTTCGTCGATATTCTTAGCCTACTTAGTCGAGTGCCAATCAGAGGATCCTTGTTAGCAACCATGGGTTACCTCATTCAAGGGGATCTCGTAGGCCAAGGGGCTGGGGACCTAATCCTAGGCTGACAAATAGAAAGTGCACAAGTCTGTGAACAGTGAACTTATGTCTATGTTATCTAACCTAGAATGCCACCAAAAGCATTAAAACTAATCATCATATGAATCTAACATAGTAAGCAAAAATCAATAAATGCTCAATTTGCATATAGATTAATACACCTCATAAATAAAAAGAAACATCGGCCTAACCTAAAGCTAGAGTTCGTGTCCTAACAAACTAACCTAAGTGTGTGTAGCGGGCCGTGTGGTTTGGATATGTCCTATATCGAGTAATTGGTTGAAGTTGTCTAATGTTTTGATTGGTTGAAAGGCTTGAGAGATTTAAGTTTGAGTTTAAGTATTAGTAGTTTTAAAGTTGATTTTAAGGTGTGTTTTAAGTGCTAAATGATTACCACATTTGTTTCTCACCGAGGCCACGAAGTTTATTTCACCTTCCTTGGGGCTAAGATAATAGTCTCGTAGGACTGGGTTACCCAGTGATAACCAGTATTAGTTGAGTTAATTAATTGGTTGATGGTTAAAGGGATGAAGATTTTTTAATTATTGAGTTAAAGTTATTTAGAGCTTGAGTTGATTGTTGAATTATTAGAATTCTTTATTAAATTTGTTAGAATTTTCAGATAATTTCTCAAATCTTCTTAAATTAATCTTAATTAATCATTAATGAATTATTGATTAAATTTCATTCAAAAATTTCATTTAAATTTGAATTATTAATCTCTAGGTTTTATTTAATTTTATTCAATCTTTAATGTGTTTTTGAAGTATCTTTATTGTATTTAATTAACTATCAATGAATTTGATAATTTAATAAATTGAAATGAAAGTTTAATTAAAATATTTTATTTTAAATTGAAATTAGAATTTTCTGATCCTTGTTTATTATTGGAATTTTCTTTATGTCTTTACATTTTGTTTGATTTTTAATGAATTCATTTAATCAATATTTAATCAATGAATAATTAAAGCATTAACTAAGAATTAATAAAATTTGTGTTTGAATTTTATCCTTTAATAATTGTACATATTGGTTGAGGTTGATTGAGAAAGGTTTGATCTTTTTATAAATTTTATTTGAGTTGTTATCAAATGTTTAAGTTTTCAAATTCTAAAGAAAAGATTAATGATTGATTATTGTTTGAGATTAAATCGATTATGTATATTAAATCCTAAGATGTGATGTCACTACGTTATTTATGTTTATTGTTTCATCCCTAAAGGATATATGTGTGAATCCTAGAGTTTGTCTAAGTTCTCTAAGACTCGTCTTTAATTATTGTCCTTAAATGACATTAATGTTGTAATGGGACTTACAATCAATGTCTCTAACCCTTGGACATGCACATGAGTATAAATAAATCACATCAATGGGTTTTGGGTTTGCAGAAAAATAAATATAAATGAGATGCATAGGTTACTACATGGACCTAAGGTTGGAGGAGCATGCAATCATTGGCTTATAGGATCTATGGCCTTCTAAGTTTTAATAAAACTTACCTGATCATCGGAGCTAGTCAACGATGAGTCCAACCGTAGTACTCCCATTTGGAAGAGATGGGGTCGACTGAAACTCTTTGGCTCTATCCTCCAATTAGCTCCATTAGTACCTATAAGTTAAATGTATTCACTCTATATGGATCGTCATCCATTGGACTTGGCATCAGTTGAAAGCCAGTGTAACAAATTCCTGCTGTCGTGCTACTGGTATGATCCTCCACATGACATCCACTAATAACTTGAGCTAGTGTCTCATCCTTGACCCAAGCTATACACCATATCCTCCTGTAAGCACGTCTTCTTGTTTGGTGTTGAAAATAGGAGCTAATCCCTCCTGTTTGTTGCTGAAATATGCTCTTCTTCCTTTTTTTTTTTGTGGTTGACATTTGGTTGGATATGAAGCGGCCCTTTAACTTCTTTTCTACCTTAGCCGAATGGAGCAGGTTCCTCTCTAAATACATGAAGCCAGTAGTTGTAGCTGCTCTCTTAAGAGATGGAAGAGCAAACTTGAATTTACTCCTCTTTCCTTTGCTTGGTTCAGCTTGAATGAATCAGCCGTCCCTGGTGAATGAGAGCAACCGCCATTTTCAAGAACTCTAGTCTCGACTGAGCCTAGCAACAACTTCTTTCTATCAGATCTTTAGGTCTTCTTCTTCCTTTTGCTTGAGCGGATGGGGAGCATGAAAGGAGAGATCATGTATATTCGGCTAGGGCTTGAAGAATCAATCGTGGAATGCAGCCCCCTCTCCTTGGCCGGCCCAAGGGGTGGCTGCTTCTTGGAATGGAGGCGTGGAGTGCCAGCAGCTCTTGTTGGCCGGCCCTAACAACCTCAAGACGTGAACGTGAGCTCTTTTTACTAAGGTGGCTGCTAGTGGAATGATATAGCCAGCAAGCCAGATCTAGCCCTCCATTTCCAATCCAAAGGCCAAAATTAAGTGCTTGATTTTTGAGAGATTAAAGGGCTAAAGTTTAGAGGATTTTGAGGGATATTTAGGCATCAAATTGGTACAAAAGAATTGATAAAACATGGAAATTTGGTAGGCTTTATGTTTTAAATTAATTATTCAAAATTTAGTAATGTTAATTGATGTTGATTAGACTTAAACTAAGCCAAGACATGTTAAATTGAGTCAACTGAAACAGTTGCGAATAAAATTTTGTTGGAATTCGTTCAATATAATAAGTAATTGACTCAATTTCAGAATCGACGACGATGTCATAGGGCTCAAATTGGCTCAAATCGAACTAGATA